CTTTTTGAGATGCAGATGAATAGGACATTTTTCTCAAATTTTTGGCCCTAAATAATTGTGAATTTGCACTGTAATAAAAAAAGAAAAATACCTTTTGAAGGAATTTAGGAGTTCCATAGTTTTGGTTCACTGTTGCTGAATACAGGCCACCTGTTAATGGTGTACACAGCACTGCTGATTTGCATAAAGTCATTTAATGACTGTAAGGATTTGCATTGTACTGCTGGTGTGTTTGACAACATTGGAGGAGGATTATTTTCTTAAATATGCAAAGCATTACACTGTGTTTAGTGTTGTTCAGAAAGCAGCTGCCCTAGAGCATTGCTACTGTATTAATCTCACCAGATTAGCCTCTAACTATTTCAGACTCTTAGGTAACAGTTCTTATAAGTATTTGCCAAGTTCTCTTTACTGTACCTGATGAGCTTTATTATAGAGGGCCCCAGGTTTCCATGGTCTCAGCAGAACAGTGTTGTGTGAGAGGAAATGTGAGTGTAAGGAGCAGTAAGGACAGCCCAGACTCCATTTTCGTGCTGAGTTCCCTGCCTGGGAGCTATAGCTGTGACTCTTACGCACCACTGATTTAAGAGGTTTGGTGGCTCAGCAGAGGTTATTTATACCATTTACACCAGACATTCAAAAGAGGATGTGGGGACACGATGGAGCACTGAGGTGCTGAGAATGAGGCTGCAGGGAAGCTGTTTTGTTTGAAGGGAGCAGATCAGTGCCAACAGTAGCACTCCTGAGCAGTGGGTCAGAAACTTTTGCATGCTCAGTTCTGCTTCCTCATGCAGGGTTATTGTGTTTACCTTGGGATCCCAGTATATTTCCCTCGGGATCCAGATTAAAAGCTGTAGGATGAATGCTGACTTTGGTCTCAGATCTTGGTACTGCTGTAAAGGCTCCTGCACTGGTGTCCAGCAGAGTTTCAGATAAAGTTCAACTGGTAACTTTGTTTTCCATCCCTCATCACTTTGCTTTATGCAGTAGGACAGGAAAGGTGGCAAAGGGTGATTTTGCAGGAAGATGTGAGTTCTGACAGTGCTAAGCCATAGCACATCTGCCACTTCTCAGCCAACAATTCTGCTGAGCACAAGGCTTTCTTTGTGCAGAGAGACAGGACAGCAGAAAATGCTTTTAGACAGGTGTTTGAGATAGTAAGTTGAGTGGTTCAAATATGAGTAAAAAACATCACTGTTTTATGGCTTTTCAGTGACTGAGGGTTTTTTTCATTTTTTTATTTTGCCTTTTCGTTTTCAAATGCAACTATTTATCCCATATCTACTGGCATACATGTACCAGTTTATAGAACACCTAAAGTTGACTTAAGCCATTCCATGAAGTTCCTTCCATTAAGTAATGAAGTTCATTTTTCAAAGGGTATGGGAGTTTTGGTTTGGGGTGTTTGTTTGTTTCAGTAAGTCAGGTATGTAAGGCGTGCATAAATACTGTAATACACTTTTGGAAGTGAACATGGAGGGAAAGCATCCTTTTCCCCTTTTCATCATTGCAGGAAAGCAGAAACGAAGTAATTTGCATATTTCAGCAGATATGACGTAAGTTTTTGTGACTTTCAAACTAATTTTAAACCTCTACTACTGATGAATGTGCCGCGTAACTTCCTAGTGGTGCACTAATTTGAGACATCACATTTCACAGAGTTACAGGATCCGTGTCTCTGGGGGTCCACAGATCTCAATCTCTACTACCAAAGGGAAAATCAATGTCTTTTCCATTGACTGCGTTAATCCCTTCCCATGCTCTGTTCATAGACACAATGAATGGGGTTGCATAGAGAGAGTTTTCCCCAAGGAGCATCTCTCCGGCAGTTTGACACCTCGGTGCACATCCGTGCAGCTGCTGTGCTGACCATGCAACATAACTTTGGTGTGAAGTTTAGTCTCCTCCAGTAGTTTGCGTCATGAACTAATGCAGACAAGCAGTTTCACACAAATATTTTAGGCAATAAGTTTAGATTTGGTTAAATATCTTTGTCACCAAGAATTTATCTCTGACTGTCAACTGTTTGACTTGACTACTTGCCTGGAAAAAACTGATTTTCAGTGGAAGTATGTGGAATACTATTGTTTTGATTTTTTTTTTCCTTTGAAGGCAGAAATTCAAAAAGGAAATCATAAAGTTGTTTGGTCATTATATCAAGCTGTTTTCTGTGGGATAGGCACAAAATAGTGTAGTTCAGCAGAAAAAGTCACATAAAGGAGATCATTTTACTTTTTGGTCAGATTGGAGCTGGCCCACACTAATGGCTAAATGGAAGCTAATCAAGCTAATAGGAGCTCTCCCTAAAATTATTGTTAGGGTATTTCCAGTGTGATGGTTGGGAAGTATTTCAGGTGAAAATCAGTGCTGAAGCCAAAGTGGGAGTATTCCTGTCTTTTGTGAGCTTGCAGTGTTTCTCCAAAAAGAAGAGCTGTAAGCTGCTGGGCTCCTGTCAGGCATTCCCATTGCTTAGGACCAAGGACTTTGTCTGAGGTTGTTAAGCACCTTCCCTGGAACCCAGTAGAGGAGAGTGACCACAGGGCTACAGCAGGCAGGAGGAAAGAAGCTACCTCCATTTCCTTGCTGCCTTCTCACATGTTTGTTAATAACAGCATTGGTAAAATATCTGTAGTGAATAATGATTTAGTCTAACTGAAATGTTTTCAGAAAAGATGAATGCAACTACTGTTGAATGTTACTACTGATGAATGCTTTGTGACTCTGGAGAAATAGGAATGGCAGTGTGAGCTTCTGATGGAAGTTATTATATTGGATGAATAATCTCTGTAATTGCTGCCTTTTGGTTTGTCGTGCCTGAAAACTGCCTGATAGGGGTGTGTGAAGAACTGTATCTGTCTGCAGTGACTGCACAAATACTTGTTGTAGCACATGTCCTCTTAGACTTAGTGAGTATCTTCTCAAATTGTCATCCCAGCATCCCTTGTCCTTCCCATGGCAGGCTGAATGCAGGCAGAAGGTCTGGGCCACGCTGGATTAGCCTTGGTGCCATCGTGCACCCTGTGCCCCTGTGCTCTACAGCGGGGATTGCTCTCCTCTGCTCTCGCTTATTTGGCATTTTCATTTCACAGACGTAACCATGTGCCTGGATTGACCAAAGATGCCAACATAAGCACTTGCCAAAAGGCAGCTCCCATCTTCCCCAGCTGCCTCACCCTGTCTTCCTTTTCAAAAACAACCAGAGGCTTATGATCCTGATTCAGAGAAGGATTTGTTCCATCTCATATCTGTGATTCAGGCATTTTGAAGGAAAAGAAAGGAAAAGAAGGAATGTGATCCTTGAAGAAGATACCCTTGATGAGCTGTCAGACTTGAGTTTGGCTAGCAAGGAGTTAGGATCCCCAGGCTGAGCAAAACATCATCCATCATCTCAAACAACAGTCCAAAGGGACAGATCTGTGGTTCTGCAGGCACTTGGAACCAAATCCTGTTCTAGAGAAGGAAAGGACAAAATGGGAGCACTTCCTGCTTCAGGCTGACACCAAAGCTCATGAAGCCCCTTTCCAGGGTGCCATCCTGGCCTTCTTGGTAACAGGGATATGACAGAGGAGAACATTGCTCTGAATTGAAAAAAACATGCTTGGAGTCCTTATTAATCTATTTAATGAACAGGATTTTTATATCCAAAAGTATCATCTGCTATGTATAAAGCTTAAAGAGTTGTTAACTGTTTCAAAGACGCATATGCATAGCACACCAACTGCACTCCAGACTTTACAGATTTTGGGCTGTATAGCATCTGTGACAGACCCAAGGGCCTGTACTAAATCCCACTGCATGAGCAGTATCTTTGATGCTGCTGTACAAGTAACTTGCCCGACAGCCAGATGTTTAGGGGTCTCAGTCCTCAGCCACAAATGTGAAGATGCTCTTCTAAGTTGGTATATGGTGTCTCATCCCACATTTGGTTTGCTTTAAAGATGAAATGTTTGGGGGTATTGAAAGCTCAGCTCAATGCAAGGAGACAGAAAGCTGTTTTGGGGATGTTTGGGTTTTTTTGGGGAGGGTGGAGAGTAGTGTTGGCTGGCCCCTTGATAAAAACAGGGAATAATCTGAAATACAGAACCAGCCAAAACCACAAACTCTGATTTAGACCTACTTGGCTCTTCTGAATCATCATGAGCTCTGCACACTGAGTCAGCCAAGAGCTGGTTTTCTCTTCAGTGTTGTGTAAACACAAGATGTTTCTCTGGGCTAAATATTATTAAGTTTAAAAGTCATGTTTATTTGTCCTGTATAAAAAATGATTAATACAGAAAGTTACCATCTGGGGAGATATGAAAATGCTTTTCTTTTAGAGTTTCTTGCTCAGCTCATCTTTGAACACAGATCACTTTTAGGGTACCCTGATTTTTTTCATTTGATTCTATAAGTGATAATTATTTGGATCAAACTACTGACAAGGCTTCCTGTATTACCTTTGGAAATTATAATTTCATTTAAAGTAATTAAGGAAAACCACAGGACTTAATTCATAGTTGTACCACGATGTGGTGTGAATTCTTAAAATTCGGAGGGAAGGTTGTGCAGCTGACGAGCACATTTTCAGGGAAAGCTTTAGATCTGGACACAGAGAGGTGCATGTAATTAGGATGCTCTATGCTGGCCAGGGGATTTCTCTCTCTGCAACTGTTCACAGTACATGTGAGAAATGTTAACAAGCCCTGGAAGGTTTTTACTCTGCTGAAATCTGGGACTAATTGTGAGGGGATTTGCCTCATCTTTATTTACAACTTCTAAGATGTAATACTGCTGAGAAAAAGGTTGTATGACGTTAGGAAAGTAAGAGTTACGGAAAAGGCAATTCTGAGGGTAGGGGATTTAAAACAAGGCCCCACACCCCACAGCTTGAGAGCATATAGAAGTGCAATACCAGCTCTGCAGTAGAATTATAACCCCCTCCTTGTCCCCCAAACCAACAAGAGCCATTAGAGACATGGAAAAGGTGACTGGTGTTTATCTTTTCTTCCCCCTTTCCATAGTGCGGCTCCATGACAGCATATCAGAAGAAGGATTCCATTACTTAGTCTTTGACTTGTAAGTATTTGTTTTGCATTTGTTTGCCATGTTGGGGATGGGCTGTTCAAACCTGGAGCTGCAAGTGCAAACTCATGAGATAAATGCCTGCTTCTGGTGTGATGAGCTGGACAAATAGATGGAAACAGATGGAAGGACAGGAACATATTTGGTCATTTGCATGTGCAAGAACTCAGTTGTAAGTGTCGCTGTAAGGATTCCGTTTACTCCATAAAAACTAGTAAAACTCCACTGGTGAAATGAATTTTAATATAAAGTGTAGGTATGTAAGTAAAGGTTGCATGATGCCTGCCAAAACGAAACAAAGACTCAGAAAAAAGTATTTGCTGCAAGACAGTTGTCTAAAGGAAAGATATAAAAGGCATGTGGAACACTTATTTCTCTACACAAAAATCTCTACTGCTGGATTAAAAAGATAAGCCTGAGTTCAGAGAGGGAAAGATTCTTCTAGTATTTCATTCCTGAATATCTTAATGATTTATGTTTCATTTTGACACCACTCAGGATGTAAAGTGCCCAACACATGGAAAGGAAGTTTCTTACTGATATTCTATTTTACTTCAGGAATTTAGGTCCCGTGAGTTGTTCATGTAGCAACTGGGCCTGTATGGAGCTTGTTTTTTCCAGATAAGGCTGTTTAGGGGAAGCTGGGATGGTGACAGCATGAATTTTGTGTCTCAAACTCATAACTCAAAGAGAGAAACTAATTTCCTCATTCCTCCCTGGGATGGGCAAACTTTTCCACTCACTTGAAAAGTTACTGCTTATGGTTTTGGATATGGACAAACCTGAATGATAGGGATTGTATTGCAAAACATACTTGCTTAAGTAAAATTGTCTCTTTAAACTCTAAATTTTTCCAGGGCAGTTTATGGTTTAACAGACAACACATCCACCCACCTACCCAAAGAGCTTTCTTAGCACCCTCCCATGGTTTTGCTGGTTAGAATGAGAATACATTATTTCCCCAGAAATGAGAAATAGCTAATTTCTAAGCATACAAACAGAAGTATTTACATTCAGCATGGCTGTTAGAATCTGAACCTTCCTGCACACCAGCAATCATGTGCTTTCATGTTCAAGTTACATTCTGGTTTACTTTCTGACTTAACTTTTCAAAAAGAAATCTGTAAAGACTTATTCAGCACTAGATTTCAGACTAGAAATACACAAATATTAAAATAGTCCCTCTGCAGTGAATGCATTCAGGAATCAAATCCTAACTGGTCTCCGCAGAAGCTTGTATGTGATTTGTGTCTATCCCAGGTAAGTGCTGTGACTGTTGGCTTGGAAATGGCTCCAGGGCACAACACACATATTTGTTCTCTGACATGCGCTGGGATTTGTTTTGGTTTTTTTTTTTTTTTTTTTCCCTTAAGGGCTACAAAGGAAATCTTTCTTTGTGGAAGTGGGAAAAGCTTCTTAATTCAGAACATTTCTAAGAAGTGCATGCAAAATTCTTAGTTCTAGGGACGATATACCTTTTAAAAAACAGTGGCTATTTTTTTTGTTGTTGTTGTTGTACTGCTGTACTGTGAGAAACTCTGCCATACTGCAATTGCAGTTAGTCCACGTCTGCCTTAAATTTAATATATGCCAGACTTATCTCAGGGGGTTATGATTGTGATGTGAACTAGAACATTTGAACAACTTCAGAATTGTAGATAATGGTATCTAGATCTCAATAGTAAGGAAGCAAATAGAAGCCTATGTTCTGCAATAAAATGTTAATGCCTAACCCAAAGATACTGCCTTGGCAGAAAACTAGATTCCACAGGAGGTGTTCTGCCTTGGCTGGAACTTCCTCTGTTCCCTGTCAGTCCCATTCAGGACAAACAGAGGAACAGCCTCAAACGTATATATATATATAAAGCTTTTATGTTTTGGCTATGTGGTTTGAGGGTTTTGTAAAAATGTCTTATTTTGCAAAAAAGAAAATGTCTAAATGGCAGAGGCAGTGACTTTGCTGACTGATCGTTGTTTCTGGAGAAGCAGCAGGTTACATTTTCAAGAAATTTTTGCCAAATTACTGAGAGTGCCTGTTAACAGTTGATTTCTCACATTCATTGCTTTTATGCTTACTAGTATTATTTATTAGTGAAACTTCACCTTTTACAAACGTGGTTACTGCTGTGTTGACAAGTACATAAGAGCTGCCATGATGAAAAGGTACTGTATGCACTTCTAGAACACACAGGACAAGAACCTGCTTTCTTTATTTAGTTTTTATTCAGCAGGAGCCTGACTGTGGTGTAACACTGTCACTCCACCCACACATGCCATCCTGTCATTTTCTTAATGATTTCTTCCAGACTGTGTGGGATTTGGTACGGCTGTTTCCTCAGAAATTTCTTTCAGACTTCATCCCACGTAAGAAAGTGAAGGGGAAGACTGCCCTTTCTGTGGATAGGAAAAAACAATCATTGTTACTTTCAATTTTTAATTTCTAATAATCTCTTTGGATTAAATGCCGTTGCTTCACTTGTATACCTCAGGCTGTGCTTTCTTCTGCCTAAAGAAACAGTGTTCAATGTACTCACTTACAAACATGCTTTTGGGTGAACAGTTCTGCTGTCAAATGGGAAGGTGGGAGTCTCTGTGGAAAATGGGTATTGAACAATGAACTTCATGAATTTAATAATGGACTTCATGAAGTTTTTGCTCCTCTTCCCTATTGGTTAAGGCAGCCGCTGTCAGGATTTGCGTCTCTTGGACCATTTCAGTTGCTAAGCACGAATGAGACTGTCTTCAGTGTTAATGATGTTAGATGAGTTCAAATCCAATCAATTCTGTCAGTATTAATTGCTGTATCTGAATGGAAACAGCTGTAGCACTTGAACACTCTCTTGTGCAAGTCAATGAGATTCTCTATTTTCAGTGTCTCCAGTTCTAATGCACTTGATGAGATGCAACAATTGGTATGTTAAGAATCCTGGGTTTGCTTTTGGATTCTAAGTGCAGGGACCATACTATGTCAAATAAACAGAAAACACAAAAATATAGCCTAATTTGCAAAGCAGTGTTTGCCTCAGGTAAATGCCTGGGCCTCTATTTCAGAAGTAGAAAGGCCACAGATGAATTTAATAATTCTATGGCCACCGTGAGATGCTTCCTCCCAGCTCAATTATGAAGACAATTGAAGAAGTAAATGTAAACTAGGAGGAAACCACACCAGTGTGATCATCATCAGAGGCTGGTTTAGCTGTCTGTGCTAATTTGTGTGTTTCTTTTAATTATTCTCTTATAATTTGCAAACAGAAATCAGCAGTTTTGCTCAAAGTGGTGTGGTGTGCCTTGGTGTTGCTTCATGCTGCTTGTACCTCTTCTGTGTAAGCAAACTTATGTGCTTTATTGGTTGCCACTTTAGTATTCTCTTCTCAAAAATCACAAAAGGACCATAGCAATTTGTACAAAGCAGTAGCTTTTAGGTTGTATCCTGCAAGTTACTAGAGCTTATATAATGAATGGCCTGTCATGAAATGCAACTTCCCAGGATCCAGATACATATTCATGTCAGAAAGACATCGAGATTCGTTCCCATTCGCATCCTGTGGGGAGAAAATACCTTGGCACCTGTTCATGTGGCCTTATGATCAAGGACCATTGGGAGTCATGTGGGAGTGGCTTCCTGGAACCTGCAGGCTGTCCTGTGCTGCGATGCCTGTGACCTTTACTGCTGCAGGGGCACCTTGCTCAGGGACACTCAGTGAGCCAAGGCCACGAGTCCAGCTGCCGTGGTTCGCCCAGAGGCTCAGAACATGCAGCTGGGTTCTGTCCTCTCCTCATGCCCTGCACTGTGCTGCCTTCATTCATTGTGGCCATTTAGCTCTTCTGGGAGAGCTGTTCCTAAGGTATCCTTGGGAGTGACAGAGCATGGGAGTTGCTGACTGCTTGTTTGGTTGTCACTGAAATTCACCTGCTCTGTTCCTGCTTTAATCTTTTCATCATTTAACAATGGTTGTGAATACCAAGCAAATGTTTAGTGTCAGTAAGTAAGGCTTCATATGCCCTTCCACCCTCCATGCTGGAGAAGAACAAGCATCAATTTGGTATTTTCTTCCACTGAAAGGCACTTTGAGGACTAAAGCTTCTTGTTTTCTTTCTTTAGCTTGGATCAAAAATAAGTGTTTTAGCAAAGAGTAAGATCAAAGGATGTTTTGTTTTTTCATTCATCACAAAGTGACAATTATTCCTCTTTACCAGAACTGTGGCAGACAAATATATATGCAAAAAGGACTGTCAAAATATGCATCAATCAAATATTTTGTGCTACAGCAAGCAACCAAAGCCAGTCTCTGGAAGGTAGAAGACAAAAAGAGAAAACTAATTAGGCAACAAGCTACTTTACCACCTCTAGATTTTGCTCCAGACTTTTGTACAAAATAGCTTTCTGTTACCTGAAAGTCTCTATGTTGGGAATCAGTAAGGCATAAACTCAGAAAAAGGATGGTGTAGCCCAAATATAAATGAAATCATGAAAATCAGATTCTTGAACTGGCCTTCTGCAAGAAAGGAGCTGGGCTGCTGGTTGAGCAGGGTATTCCTGTCATCATTTAATGTGGCTGAAAACTGGGTTCTTCAACAAAGTGTTAGTACAGCAGTTTGCAAATGAGTGTTACAGTTCTAAACAGAGTATTCTCACCTTGAATTTTTTAATCCTAATAAAGTTAGTTGTATTCAATACTAATTTTGTTCACTGTAGTATAGATTTTTAAGCAACTCAATCTTTTAAGTATCTTGTTGCACACTCAAGCTTTTATGTTTGTGAGTTTATTGGAAATGTAATGTGCTAATACTCACATTTGTAAGCAGTAATGAAATACAAACATTGATCTTTCATCTAGGAATTATTTATGTAAGCACCTGTATATGTGAAGAATTGCATTTAGATGTGCCAGTCTGTCAGCCTTTACCATAAGAGAGAAATGTTACAGGAAGGGTCTTCTGTGCTGTAAGTCCCCTCTTGTGACACAGGCAGACGAGTGTTACAAAATTACTAAAAAGCTCATTAATCTTCATCTTACAAGGATTGCTAGAAAACTTCTCCAATAATATCCCTTACAACTCCCCTCTAAGGAGATCCAGGCTAATGCTCATCCTCAGTATTTATTTTGATCCCTCTTAACCTTTATTTTGCCCAGCTAAACTGGGTTTGCTTCTCTGAGGAGATCTGATAAGCGAGTGACTGGGTAGCATGGTAGTAATTTTTCTGTTCATACTGCACTTCCAGTTCCCTTTTCTGGGTTTGAGTGACCAGAACTGGTACAATATGAGGAGGGATTTTACATTGCTGTCACCCTATTCCAGATGCAATCCAAGATTGTGGCATCATCCTGCTCTGAGCTCATTCTGGACTGTGATTGTTGGGATACAAAAACAGTTTTATTGCTTTTTAACCCCTTTCTAACCATTAAACCACTGTTTTTACCATGAGTTCCTGAGTATGAAATGATGCACAGCCACTTCTGTAACTGGCTCCAGGATCATACAGTTCTTCCCTTGTACTTAAGTTATTTTCAGTGGTGCTTTATCTAAGCTATTCCTACTTTCTCCACAAAGATAAATGAAAATTTTCTAGGAAAGATCTGCTGTTAAATGGATTAATGTACCCTGATTCTACTGATAGTTCCCTTCCAGTTCAGTACTGCTTTTTCTAGCCACAGCACAAAAAGGCAGCCCCTCTGGCACCTGGGTACACACACCTCTTTTGTGATTTGCTCTACACTGCAATACCCTTTTCCTTTTTTAGCATTGTTATATTTCAACATTTCTTACCTTTGCGTTATATTGCAATTTTCAAATGATCCTGAGCTGTACTGAGCTTCAGACACAATTTTCCTGGCTGGTCAGTTCCCTTTATCTTTGTAGTTTTACTGCTTCCTTTTGACATCCATAACTGATGTCTGGCATCTTGCCCAATACACTGCTGCCCTTGGCTTTTGTTTTCTATTTATGATTGCACTTTCACCACATCCATTTTATTCATATAATGATTTGGATGGACAAACCTTCCACTTTAGTTCCTGCACCTTGCTGCAAAATCTCTTGCATTTCTGTACAAATATTTCACTTTTTCCTCTCTGACTTCTTCCTGTCAAGTTAATTTAAGGTGCACATTTTCACTTCTGAAATCTCCTTTTCCCCATCTTGCTTTTTGTAACAGAGTCACTGGAGGTGAATTATTTGAAGATATAGTTGCAAGAGAGTATTATAGTGAAGCAGATGCCAGGTAAGTAATTTTTTTTTCTAATATCACCTTTGATAATTATAGGATAGTTACTTAAATATATCCTGGTGTTTGGCATCAGTTTCTCAGCACAGTCTTTGAGACTCTAGGATTTCTCCAGAAGTTCTCTTAGACTTGGAAGGGCAGAGTTTGGCAGTTTGAGCTCACGACTGTGTGGTGGAGAATTCATGGGACGTCTTGGTGTCTGCTGATCTGAAAAAGCTGAAATTGAATCTCAATTAGTTAAAATTTTACTCATTGTTTCCTCTGCAAACTGGACATAACAGTTCAAGTATCTCATCCATGGATTCTTAGATTTGCTGATCAAAGTTTGAAGCATAAGTTGGTCTTAAAAGAATTTTGCTTTAAATATGAATTTTTGTTCTTGGGCCTGAAGTGCTAATTTCCTTTTCCAATTAGAACATTTTAGTTGTGTTTCATCAATAAGCAATTATACCGTGTGTCTCTTAGTCTGAGCTCAAATATGAAATCTCTGGCAATTTTCTGCAAGTGCTTGTTGAAAAACTTGAATAATAAGTTGACAATTATCATAATTTGCATGCATAAAGTATCAGGGCCACTCATGTCATGTTTGTCCTCATATAATAATAAATCTTAAATTTTGTCATAAATTTAAGAATCCTAAACATCGTGGTCAATTACACTGTAGAAAATATGTTCTACCACCACACTCTTCACATAATTGATCTCAAACTAAATTCAAAGAATCCTTATGTTTCTGTGTGTTTACAAACGCACCCCTCTAATAATACATATTTAGTACATGCACTTTTAAATTATGCCTTTACATTTGGAGATCTTTGGGAGAGGACAGAAAGAATTAAGTATTCCTAACAACAGTAGCATGATAATAATGACCAGACGAGAAGTTACTCTGAATATTAGGAAGCTTCCACTTCCAGATCTTACTGCATCTGTAGAAATGGTAGGAAGATTAATATTTTGGCCTTTAAATAAAGAACAACGCACGGCAAAACACCCCATAGAAGAGAAAACAGCAATAAGGGTTTAGGTGGGGTGGAAGAAGAGGAGCTATGTTGAAAAAATTTTCAAATCATTTTTTCCTGCTGTCATTGAAACAAATTTCCAATATTGATGCCAAAGGCCAGTATACGTTGTCCTTGTGTGTTTTTAAGATAGCTGGATTTTAAAAGGGAAAATTGTAATGATGATTCCTTCTGTTCTAGAATTATAATATATTGGAAGGGGCTGTGCCTATATATGTATATATATATATATATTATATATATACATTTTATTTTTTTAGTAAAAATTTGACCAAATTAGTGAAGTATCTAGTTATGATGCATCTCTGTATTTTGTATATTTATATATACAAATATATATGTTTGTATATATAAATAGCTATATCTTGTGTGTGTATGTGTGTATCCCTCTAGCAATAGTTGCTGTTCTCTGTGGATGCCTCTCCCAGGACTGTCACACTGGTCTGCTCCTGCAAGCCCTTGCTCACGCCAGTAGTCTGTACTCAGACAAACAGTGCAGTGAGTTATGAACTACTTGCCTAAGAAAGGGTTTTCAGGCTTGGGCTCCAGTTACTGATTATGGCCATTCCTTCTGAATTCCATGGTCAAAAGGTTTTGGATGAGCAGCATCTTGACTACAGTATATTACTTAGCATCACTCACTTGTGCCACAACAATGTCTTTAAAAGAAAATGCTAAGCTCTTGTGGTGCTAAAAAACCATCTGAAGAAGTTCCAGTGCTCTAAAATATTAATATTTTAGTTGTACTTTTTGGCATCATAGACTGGCCAAAACTTGCAAACCTGGGTATGGGAAAATAGGTGCTAGTTCAGTTACTGCAAGCACCAAACTAAAACATTTGTCTTAATTTTTAATGTGAATTTTCACTCCCCAAGTGACTCCTAACAAAACTAGAGCTGGACACTATTTTAAATGTAAATGCATGCCACCTTTTTGAATGACTTGGCTTTACTACTAACTGTTTTAAAGAAACCATTCAATTCAAAATGAAAAATGTTTTGCTTTTCCTTAGCTTTTGACTTCTTTTGTTTCATTTGTTTTCTGTATATCATCTCATTTCTGACCATTTTCTTGTTTCAGCCCTTGTTGTAATGTTAACTTCACCACCAAAAATTAAGAAAACCAAAACATGCCACTAATTGTTTTACTGCCTCCACTTTATTTTTCCTCTGGCCGTTTTTGGAAACTGGAAAAAGCTTCCATACTGCTGAATGAAAATACAGTCTGATGATTCTGTCTCACAGGTGTCATATGTTCCATGTTAAATGTCTTTTTTTGTTTGGTTTTGGTTTTTCGTTTTTTGGATGTATTGGAGCTGGAAATATCTCAGCAATGTTGTTGTTCCAGTTCAAACAGCAATCAAGACTTGTCCAGAGGTGTAAAATTGTTTTTGTTCTTTAACTTTTTCTTTTAAGTTTTATTTTTATTTTGTATTTAATGTGATTATGTGCCTTTAAAATGTTCTCCCTTCCATTCTGCCCTTGTATCTTTGCAGTCATTGTATACAGCAGATTCTAGAAAGTGTTAATCATTGTCATCTAAATGGCATAGTTCACAGAGACCTGAAGGTCAGTATCTGGTGCCCATCAATTGGATATAAGAATTTTGGGGTTTTCTTTCTGCTGGGTAGGGGCAGAGGGTGGGATGTCTGCGATGTTCCCTTGCCTATCCTATTCACCCTCCGAACGACCGGTCCAACCAATAATGCATGACGCTTCTTTCCAGTTTGCGAGTCTACAGGCCTAATATACATCATGGCAAAAGGGGGAACGGTTGCCCAAAACCCGTCTCTTGCCAAGGCGCTGGATTTTGCCCACGCTGTGCCAGGCGCCGGGGCTGTCCCCGTGTGGCTGTGCGGGCACAGGAGGTGACCCCTGGCTGTGATGTATGTCAGCTTGTAGGTGTGACCGCCACGGCTGTGCTGGGCCCGGGGGGCAGTGGCCGCACGCTGCTGCGCTCGGGTGTGACGAGCCCTCAGGCCGGTGCCGCTGATTGCCGGCTAACTTAGGCGGCTAGGAGCTAATTATTGACCTGGACTACCTGGCCTGAGGGGCCAGGGGCCTTCCTCCACTGTCGTTTCTACAATTCTTCAATGCCTCTGGGAAGGCGCTGAGTAAGCGAGGAGGAAAAAGCACAGAGGACGCCAAATGTTTAATACGACTTTGAATCAGTGGCAAAATGTCTTCCTTTTACAAATTCCCATTAAAAAAGACCTTGGTGTTAATTTCCGAGCAAAGCCAAGGCACCGCCCCGCCGCCTGTCTCTGAGGGCAGCCTGAGGCCGTCGAGCTCCGAGCGGGGCGGTGCGGGCAGGGCAGGCCGGGCCGCAGCGCAGCCACGCCCGGCCTCGCCCTCGGCCGCCGCCCCGCCGCCTGGTGCCGGAACTAACGGGCGCCCATGGTGTTTGCATGCAGTCATTGCATTCAGCAGATCCTGGAGGCCGTGCTGCACTGCCATCAGATGGGCGTGGTCCATCGTGACCTCAAGGTGAGTGCTGCTGCCCCGCCGCCCTCCCGGAGCAGCATCCCTGCCCCACAGGGCCGCCAGCAGCCAAAATGTAAATGCTCCCCTCTTGTTGTTTGTCCCCTTGGTTCATTTGGTTTTAACTTGACTTCACCTACATGCAAGAACAAGCTCGTGCTCACCAGAGGGAATCTGCTCGAGGCTGGCCAGTGCCTGGCTGTCTAGCGCCGGGCGATACAGGGGAAACAGAAGGTGCTTTTCAAGCACCATGTGTATTTGTTGAATATGTGGTCTTTCTCAGTCATCCAGAGCTTTGGGAGCTTTTTCTCTCATCAGCAGAATTCTTAGTGCTTCTGGGAAGCACAGTGGCCTTTGTATGCCATGCATCTTACAGTGACAGAAGGCCAACTGCTCTGGGATTGCTGGCACACAGACTTCTTTCCTGCAAATGATGGCTGGGCTACCAAAAATCTTTAAAAACCAGGAATTTCTACAGTGCTCTCACCACACCCACCTGAGGAGTCCAGTTCCTTCCAGATGAGCTTTAACAGTGGGATAGAAACTTCTCTAAAGAAAACCCTGTGCTGAGAGAGCATTCCCTCTTTCTTGACTGTGTACATCTCCAAATCTAGAAGCATCTGCTGCGGGAATGCTCTCTGCCTTCAAAATACGTTGGCAAGGAAAGAAACAAGTATAAATAATTTTATTTTACTGTGAGGCTCCAAGAGAGAAGGCCCTCCCAGAACTCATAGTAAGCTTGCCTTTTGGGCACTTGAGCTTCACAATCCACAAGGAAAAGAAGATGATTTGTTTTGAAATCAGATGGAAGTCTGAGCTATCAGATCCTTTGTGAGGCAGAGAAAAAATGGTGTGTGTGCTAAGGCAGCAAAACACGCTAATCCCTTGTGGCACAGATTCTTGGGCTTTAGGGTTTTTTTCTGAATGAGTTCTGAGGAGCAGAAATTTCCTCCTAGGATAAGTGTTTCTAGTGGTTATCATGAATAATAATGTCGGAATCAGAATGCTGTCACCTTTCTTGGCAACTTTCACTCCCAAACAAACTGGCTTTGTCTGACTTTACAAGGTTCATGTTGTCATAAAGGAACACAAAGAGGTTTGCTCCAAAAGCTCAGAGAGCAGGATGAGTTTCAAAGATGGAGACACCAAATTTTTTGCTCATTTTGCACTTCTGGATTTTCCTTTGTCATGTTTGTACTACAGGAGACTGACAAATCCCCGTGCAATCTATAAATCTTGCATGGCAGCTAGTTAATGTGGAATGAGTTTTAAGGGAATGATGTCAAATTTGTCCAGCTGCTCCAGTGGTTCCTGTCCACGTTGTACATGCAGTCCTGTGCTTCTAGCTCAAAAGGAATTTAAAAAGCCAGGATTGTAGCTATGCAAGCTGATGGAATAAGGGATGCTTTCTATTACTTTTCATATGTTCACGCAAAACAACTTTTTCTTTGGGAATGCATTAAATCCAGCTGTTGCCTGCTCCAGACGATGTGTGGATTTCTTATTCTGGCAAATCCAGGATGAATTGAAAAAACAGTGTGAGAAAAAGAGTCTCTGCCAAGCTGTGGTGCCCAGTTTCATTTGGGAAAGTGAAAACTTCAGGAAGCAGAAAGCCATCCTTCTTCAGTTACAGCTTTGTGGCAAAAGCCAAAAAACCCTAAGAATTAAGTGAAGGACTGTGGTGAAATCCGAGCAGAACACCATGTGCTGAAAAGAAGATGCCAGGAGCAGAACAGCAAGCTGTGGAAGGTGGTTATGGGTTGGCATGGATCCTTAAATTGCAAAACTTGATGATGGATTTTTTTCCAATAACTCAGTCCACAACATGATGGCATGCTTGGGGGTGGGGAGATTTTGGATGATCCGTTTTATTTAGCTTTCCTTCTAGGCTGATTTAGTAGCAAACAGACAGGAGCTTTTGCAGCCTCTTATGACCTGCAGAAGTGCTTGTTGCTGCTTTGTTTGTAAACACTGGCTTAAGTCAGAATGGTGATGGATCCTAAACCCAGAAAAAAATTAACTTATCAGTGGCAACTTGGCTTTGCCAGCTAGTAAAAGTGCACTTCCAGGTAGGACTTCCAGTTCTTATCAGGCTGTAGCCTTCCTACTTCTGTGAAACTTCTGTGATTTTGTGGTTAAGACCCTCTTACCTTCCACCAAAGAGTGGCTGCTTTAGGTACATTCAAGGAAAAATACACGGAGCCTTAAATATTTGATATCTTAAGGATTAAAGACCTTTGGAAAAGCATGGCATAAATCACGTTAATTTATTTGTAAGTAATTTTAGCAGTTAACAGTGCCATTGTGCATGCTTGGCTGCTGCCCCTCGCTGGGGAGCAGGCGCAAGGTGACACCACCGAATCCGGGGAACAAGTCCTGCACGGTGCTGTTAATGTTTCCCAAGTAATTGCACTCATTCCCAGCTAATGCATGATAATTATCCACGTGCCTCTGGCCAGCCTCAAACGGCTGCTGCATGTTGGTTAAGCACACAGTCCCATTTGGCATGGCCCAAAAGGCTGTTGTCTTTGGCACGGGATCACGTCAGAAATTCTGGTGGAACATACTCATCTGTTAAAGTGGTACTGCTGAAGAGAAGAGACATGCAGTGGAATAAAAAAAACAATCCCAAGAGGAAAACATAAGCTGAAAAAGCCAAACCAGCATCAGAAAACACGAAACCAGTGTTTTGAACAAAATCATTTTTTGGGAAAGCGTTATGTGCTTGGTGGGGTAGTGCTTGTATTTCATCCAGAAGGATGAGGCTTTTCACTGCTTTTGGCTTGCCTGAAGGTCACAACCAAATAGGATCATCTGTTGCTTTAAGAGGTTTGTACAAGAACAGCATTCCAGGAATTGATTACTGTGAACTTGTTTCATTCTGAGAGGAAACCTTGCATAACTATGTCACTGTGTATTGAAATTAGTGTTACTAAATGGCAAGGCGTGTGACATTGCTTAAATCAGTGTTGATGAAACTAGAGAAGAGTCCTCAGCTGTGCACTCAGTGTTTCATATATGTAATTTAAATGAATATTAAGATTGTATTTTGTTTTGAGGGCCCTTCATCTTAATTTTTGAAACTGTGAAAATAGAAGATTCATCAAGTAGCTATTGGTGAAAGTTTTTTAATATTGTCTAATCTATGACGTAGCGACAAAGGGATGAGTGAGAGAACAGCGTTGGTAAATTGCTGAAAAGATGTTCCTTTAGTGAGAGGGGAAAAAACGCCTTCAGACTAAAGAATTTGTCAGGGCCCGTTGTATTGTTAATTAATAGAAGTATCACCGTGGCTGAGGTCTTACTTAGGCTCAAGCATATTTTGCTGGATACCTGACATGTATTAAAGATAGGCTTTGCTGAAAGAGGCTTATGATCTTAATTGTTTCCAACCTCAGTACGTGCATGGGATTAACTGCAATCACATAAATAGTCCCTTGGAAGTGATACGATTGTTGCTGGTTTGAACCTGGAATATCCCTTGAAGAGTTTGCAGGATTGAGGCCTTAGCACCAGCCTGGCTATAATGAAGTCCCTTATCACAGACCACTGCAGAAATTGCTTCTGAGGAGTCACAGCAATACCTGTGAAAGTGAAGTTTTGTTATTCTGTAAATGTAGAACAAAACCTTTTTTAAAAACCATGGGGATTGGAAAGACAGGTGTGGCAAGAAAATGTTTTGAGGATCACAGTTCTCTGAAATAATCTGTTGATTTCTACAGTACTTTTTTTAGTTGTATTTTTAAAGCAAACATTCATACAATAAAGTTGTCTTTGGGCAATTTACATTTGATGTATTTGCTAACTGCAGTTAAAAGGATTCATTATGAACAGTAGAATGAACATAATTGTTATGTTCAAATCCTTTACCTTTAATTGTGTGAGTGTACTATAGCCTTTCATTTCAGATGTGACCAACATACCCTACAAAACAAAAGCAAGGTGGGAACGTTCACTATTATTTTTATTTGTAAAGGTTCTCTGCAGGCACAAGTGTGGGTGTGCTGAGAGATTTGCAATGTAAATACACCTGCTCTCTAAATACAATCACAGGGCTGTTACTGTTGGGATGTCATACAAAACATTTCTGTTTGGCAGATGCAGATGCCTGATCCTGCAAACTCCATGGGCTAGAGTAGTCATCAGTGAGTCCCTGTCCTTTGGGAGTCTGCTGCCCCATTTTTCCAGTAATGAGTTCTTGGGAATCTCTGACCTGCCTTGTCACACCAGCAGGTGTCACAGCTCCACATGCCCATTCTGGCTCTTCACACTGTCCTTAGTCTTGCTGGCATGAGCTCATGAAGGCTGGTTACAGGCCTGGTAATTCTTTCCAGATAGGAATGGGAAGTGCAATTTCATGGAAAAAACCACGGGTTTCTTCTAATTTTCACTCCTCTAAGTATTTGTTCTTTTCCAGAGTACTGTCTAAAATGTATTTACTTATCTTTTGATCTCAATTGTTTTCTCTCTCTGAATAAAGCCTGAGAACTTACTTCTAGCTAGCAAATCCAAGGGAGCGGCAGTCAAACTGGCAGACTTTGGATTGGCTATAGAAGTCCAGGGAGAACAACAAGCTTGGTTTGGTAAGTAAATACCATTTTTTCCTCACCATTTATTCAGCGTAGTAGTTAAGCCTCCCCAACTGCCCCACTCTCAACCCAGAGTGAAATGTGCAGCTATATGACTCTTTGACCCTGGAAAACCTGAGTTTCCTGATTCCTAGCTTGTGCCACCTTCCATCTGTAAATTTGACTGAGGTGCACACAACCCCTTTTCTCCCACTTTCTCCAGAGTAACTAGAGGCAGAAAATACAGGTGCAGAACCTGGGAGGGAGACTGGTGGTTCCCCTCAGGTGACTGAAGAATGAGACAGTAGGGAAATACTGCTGAGTGTACATGCCCAGTCATCAGAACATTTTGTCTGTCTCTGTCAGCTGGAAACACCTGAAAAATTGATTCTGAAGCACTTTGGAATGTGACTTCAATGAACGGGAAAATAGGAGGGATTGAGCACCTTAGCCAGACACTAATTACAGATTGCTCGTTACGGTTAATAGATGCCCGAAGGAGAATGGTGGAAATTATTTAATACCGGTAATTTTAAACAAAGTGCATGTACAGTTATGATACATGTGTCTCACGTACCACCCTCTTTGAACAGATGTGAAGCATGGGGAAAACTGTATTATAAATCCCAGGTGGAAAAACATGCAGAATAAAATATTTATAGCAGCTGCCTATTCTCCTTTAGAGTAGCTAGAAAGTGCAGTTGGAAATGGAACAAAGTGGTTGTAGGCTTGGAACAGAAGCAGAAAGGTTTTCTGGGCAGTGAGTTGGGAGGTTGAGTGTTCATGGCTGTAAGTACATGTAGATGCACAAGTAGTACCATTGGACATATGTTGGCAGCTTTATGAGCCAGCCTGTTGTTTTAAATCCAGTCTTTTTATAAATGGATTTCAGTAATCCACAAAAGACAAGAGAGATTGCTCTTGCACATCAATGAACAGACCAGTACAAAAAGAGTGGAATAGAAACAAGGCAAAACACAAGTGGTTTGTTACAATGGAAGAGTGTCAGGTAAACAGGAAGCATCTCAAGAAAAAATCAGCAGATTAAAGTTGACATCAGGAATATTTTCTGTACATAGTGTACCTGCAGGTGATGCAGAGGAGGTTGCAATGGCCTAGAAAATCTTGTACTTTGTTTTTTTTTTGTCATTTGGTTCTTGTGAAATGCTTGGTTTAGACTTACAGCATCATGAGGACTTAGGAGAAGGGAACAGAATGTCTTTAAAATATATATGTAAGGAGGAGTTAACAAGGTAATGAAAAGCAAGTAGCCTAAAGGGAGTCTTTCTTTAAAAGAAGCTGTGGCACTCAATAAGATAAGTGGGTTCTGTACCTTTTTTGCAGCTTGCTCCGCAGAATGTGTCCAGAGTGGTCCGAGTGCCTGCCTTGAGCTTTAGGACTGCATTAGCAGGCAGAACATGAACTCCAGCGGACTGGGCATTTTGAACTTTTTCTCGCTTTCTTTCATAAGATTTTTCTGCTTTCTGCTGGATTCTGCAGCACTTAGTGACTCATGGCGTGCTCCAATTCTAATTATAGCTCTGAATCAGTATGCTTTCCTTTCTTTTTTCTTTTTTTTTTTTTTTTCCATCTTTATTCTGGTGTAGTCCTCTGGTGTGGTGGTCTCTTTTCTGCTTGAACCATGGCTGTGCCTCAGCAGGAAACTGACTTGAACTCTGTGTTTGAATACAACGGAATACTTTCCTGGTTTGCATGTTTGCAAAACAAACTTATTCCTTGCCTATTTGTAGAAAGCCTTACAGGGTTTAGTAGAAACCTGCCACCCTCTTAGCAGGTGCTTAATGTACTGGGAAGGTGTCAGGCAGGTTGAGTCAACAAAGCATGGATTTTATCTTGGTCCTCTGGATGCCTGGAGAAATCATAGAAGTTTAGGAGTATAAGGTGTTGCAATCTCTTCTAGGCACTGCACAGTCACAGTTTTCAGCTTTGCAAATTGCTTTACCTAACGGAGTTACTACAAGCAGCAACACTTTTCTGAAAAGTACACACTTGTTTTGGGGGTCCCTCTGAACAGTTACAAAATAACCTCATAAATGGAAGTTAACTACTTCCTTGTGTTCTTTTTTTTTAACTGAAATCAGGGCTGTGTACTCTTCTGTGTGTGCTGCTTTAAACCACTCAAAATACTGGGGAGAGACTATTTTATTAGAGCATGTAGTGACAGGATAAGTAGGAATTACTTCAAACTGAAAGAGAGTAGATTTAGCTCAGATAATAGGATAAAATTGTTCCCTGTGAGGCTGGTGAGGCCCTGGCATCAGTTGCCCAGAAAAGCTGTTGCTCTCCCATCCTTGGAAGTGTCCAACGCCAGGGACAGCGTTTGGAGCAACCTGATCTAGTGGAAGGTGTCCCTGCCCATGGCAGGGGTTTGGAACAAGATGATTTTCAAGGACCTTTCAATCCAAACTGTTTTGTGGTCCTGTGTACTAAAACTGTACCAATTATTTCCGTTTACATCTGGGTTTTTTCTTCATTGAGAGCTAAAGTTAGCTAAGTACTATACTTATTTTTGCTTTAGAGTTTATTTTCAAATCTTGCATAGTAATGTTCATTGAGCTGTGCTAAGTTTTAAACTCAAGACAACTTTGCTTCCCCTTTAAAATGAGCACTACACCCAAGAAGAGATATGAAACAGCAGTCTATTTAAAGCCACTTAGAACATCTATTTTTCAGCTCCTCTAAGGAGCTGAAGATGTGTTTCCTGTGTGATAGTGCTCCTTAACAATTCATAGCTTCCATATCAGGAGCCTGCAAAAAACAAGCTTATTTTTCATGACCATATTTTAGCTCTTTTCTCATTAGAATTTACAGAATGTGTTCCTTCATTTCCTCCTCCCACTCCAAAGTAATTGGCGACTGCGGGGCAAAGGCTTCTTTTTTTCTGTAGCTGTGCACTTTATATGTTACCTCCATCTCTCATGAGTTTTGTGGAATCCAGGGTGGCATTGCACAAATGGTATGTGGTCCTTCGTGAAAGCCACTAAATTCTCACTTCTCAGGAATTCCCAAGCATTTATTTTAGGCCAAGATGCCTGAAAGAACAGACATCCTCACTGAAATGGGGCAGACTGTTAGTGATCATTAAGTTTTTATCCATTACAGTGTCCTAAGAAAAGTAATATTTATACCTACATTTTACATTTCTGCTCAGAGAAGCAGCTCTGTTGGTAATGAATAAAGGATGAAGAACATGCAAATTTTAAAAGGCCAGGTTGCTTCAGAGATGCCTCCTGTAAACTTTGGTAAAGAGGTTTCCAGAAGTGGAATGACTTGGCAGAAATGAGTTCTGCAGTGGAAAGATCGCATTAGATGTAGCTCTAATTTTGTGTGACATATAGCTCTTTACATATAGGATACAGTAGCTGCCCCTCTGCATTGTTAGTTGGTCCCCCATAATGTCAGCATCACCTCTAGGTCATGTGCCATAAAAAACAAATGGGCAAATGCAGCAGTTCATGTCCATGGCTCGGGAAATGTTGTCCTGGGTCTTGTGGGCCTAGATGAGAATCACTTGCTTTTTGCAGAGCACATACAGGTTTTGACCACAGTTGCCTTCCTTTTGACAGGCTTTGCTGGTACTCCAGGGTACCTTTCTCCAGAAGTGTTACGAAAAGATCCCTATGGAAAACCTGTGGATATGTGGGCATGTGGTGAGAAGTTATTCTGAAAGTCATATTCAGTCCACTCTAAAGTTTCTTAAGGGGGAGAAATAATATCCAGGGTACATTATATTGTGCATCAGAAAAGATGCACAACATAATAAAATTCAGTATTATAATAAAATGCAGTAATTATTATAATAAAATTAAGTATTAATTTCTAGTAGAGGTCATTGGATTTTTTTGTTGTCTTACCTGCTTCTTTTTAAAAAAAATTATGTACAAATTTATCTTATCATGGCATTCTTGGCCATGTCTACACAACACACTTTCAAAGAGTATTCAAAGAATGGCTGCAGGTGTATGGTGCCTCATTAGTTAGTAAACACACCAGTTCATACTGTGAGCTGGACGTTTAGTTTTGATTCACAAGGAGCCTAAAATTCGTCTGACCAATATACCCCGTCTGCAGGTATAAACCACAAAATTAAATGTTTTCTGAACTGGAGGACGGAGTAGTTGCTTTACCACCTAGTTCTCAAAACTGTGTTCAGAGGCACTGGCAAGTGGCAGCTCCCCAGCTGAGAACAGGGGCTGGTTTCCTTATTTCACTTCTACCCACACTTAGTATGTTGTTGTATTTATGAAAGCACTTGATTCACAGGGAATCATCTCTGTCAGACTAGCAGGTGGTCTTTTCAATTTCCTATTGACCAAATACAGAAAAACTTGAGTTTCCCAAATTTGCTTTGCATGAGAATAATTATAACACAATCTTTCAGACACCAGTATAAACCATAAAAAAACCATAAGTGAAAAATGCATTTTCCTAGAACATCGAGAATCATGGAATATTATTTCTCCATCTAGATAAATATTTCCAGTGTTCCTGATCTGATGTTGTCAAATACTCATTGTTGCCCTTGTTTTCCATAAGAGGTTACCTTGTCAACCCCACTTCCACTGTTTTCCCCTGTCTGAAGGGGCAGTATTCCTCCCATCCCAGTGGCTGGGATGATACTCGTGAGCCTTTCATTTTACGTAGTTGTTAGGTGCAAAATTCATTTCTGCGGTTCCTTCCTTGCAAGCCCTTAACACTGGTGTGAATTTTCTGCAGGAGTCATTCTGTACATCCTCCTGGTGGGATACCCTCCCTTCTGGGATGAAGACCAGCACAGGCTTTACCAGCAGATCAAGGCTGGTGCTTATGATGTATGTACCATACTCTGTCTTTTCAGTTATTTATAATTGTGCTTCTAAACAGGAGTTTCCTAAAGAGAGAATTTAAGAACTGGTGAGATGGTGGCATATGAATTCTGCAACATCATCTGATCATATTATGTTAAACAGGCAAGAGGCTGTTGGTCCTCAGATTTAGGTAGTTTGTAAATGATGAGATAAAGGCAGAGCCTTACAATTTTTAAGCTCTTATTTGAATCCAGTAGTAGATCCTTTGGTGAAATTATGTAAAGATTGTACAAGACTATGTACATGTGTGTATTTTTTTCTGAAGTTCCCCTCACCAGAATGGGACACGGTGACTCCTGAAGCAAAAGACCTTATCAATAAAATGCTCACCATCAACCCAGCAAAACGTATCACAGCATCAGAAGCACTAAAGCATCCATGGATCTGTGTAAGTAATGTCCACAGGTTCAACATGATCACTTGGCAGACAAATCAGTTTATGGTTTGCTTCAGCATGTAGTGAATGTGATTAGAGGATCACTTCTGTTCTTGTTCATGGAGCTGTGTAACTATAAATTGTAAAATTGTAATTACACAGATATGGTCAATAGTGGTCTATATAGAGATCTTAGCTTGGGGTAAGATTTTTGCAAATTCATCTCCTTTGCCTTGACTGTGTTATGTAGAATGTTCTCTGTCAAAATTAGAGTGTTATTTTAAATCCTCAGTGAGATGAAAGTGCAGGAAAGTTACTTTTGAATTAGATAATGTTTTGCATCTTCATTTTCCTGAAATCTTTCAGATAAGCATGAAATGTGCAGGCTGGGAACTAAGGGACTTCTGAAAAGTCAGTTTGTAGGTAGCAGAGGCTGCCTGGCTGTTCCTGGATCCAGGACTTTTCTCCTGCTCTCAGTATATTCCACACGATGACTTTTCAAGTGGACTTTACACATGGAAAAGGCTGTGTAAAAAGAGCACAATGGGGTAGTCAGGCAAAGTAGAAATTGAATGCCCTAGTCTGGGGCTATGGGTTGTAACATGTGTGTTGTAGAGTAAACAAATTGCTAAAACAACTGGCTGGGTGCCTTAAAATAATAGTTTTCTTCTTCTCTCAGCAACGTTCTACTGTTGCCTCTATGATGCACAGACAAGAGACTGTAGATTGCTTGAAGAAATTCAATGCAAGAAGAAAACTAAAGGTAAGAAAGAAAACTTGTGCTTGTGTTCAGTGTGCAAAACAAATGATCGCTGTGAAGAGTTCTTTATAAATATTGTTCTTAAATGACCTATTGTTCTTAAATTACCTTAAAAGAAGATAAGCTTTTGGCTTGAAGTTCTCAAACTTTTCATCAAAGTAAATGGAACTTGGCTTTTCTTCTTTAATTCAAAACTATAGTAATCCTCTGTATTTAGACACACTAAGAGTAGGCTCTTGAGGGATAGTCCTTAAGGTTATTCTTCTGAATTATGCTTTGTTTTTTCCTGGCCAGACATGATAGCTTTGCAGATGTGAACTTGTCTAATGTGTACATTACAAATAAGCTCCTATTCCTTCCTAAGAAAAATAATCTAAGGACAATAGTCAAGTATCTTCATATTCATCTATGAATTTTGAATAATTGCTGTGCCTCTGAATACTCCTGGCTTGTACATTAAATACTGACAGTTGGTAAATATTTGAGATATCAGGATTGCTGATAGGTGTGTAATTAAGATTAAATTACAATTTATGCAGTCATGACATGGCATTTGAGAGGTAGTGCAAAGCTAATCCATTCTCTCAGAGTTAATTCAGTAATTGCTGCCATTTGCTCATGTATTTTCCTTTTTGTTGTGTTGGCATTTGGAGTTTTACACAAGTGTGATGCTAATTTGGGAAAATGTGTGTGTACACAGGGGGCCATTTTGACAACAATGCTGGCTACCAGAAATTTCTCAGGTATGTTCATTGAACTCCAGATTAATGCAGTCTTTATATTTTAATGTCTGTGAAGGCTCAGGTCTAATTAGAACTCGTTCAGGAGCATCTAAGTATGATATATATCATGTTATTTACTGTGATGAAGCAAACAAGAATTTAATCTCTGTGGGCCAAAGAAATTCTCTTACAAGTGACAGTCTGATTTTTCTGTAGAATTTGTGCTCCTTCCCTGCTTTTTGATTGTTACCTGTCAAAGACAGGCAGCTCTTTCATGCCTATTTTGGTGCAGGCAAATTGAAAGTTATGCATATATCTCCACATGCATAAGTATCACCAAACAACATTTAGAACTTAAATATTTTTATATATGTGAAAAGTCATTCCATGATTCTTTTGCATCCTGTATTAAAAATATCATCAGTACATTCATTTCTTTACTGCTTTGCTAAGGAGTAAGGAATGTAGTAACATGAGTCCCCGTTTTCTTTCTAATGCCCAGCAGTGCTAACTGGATGTAAGAACAGTTGTTTTCTCTTCATGAAACAGTTTTGTCCTGATGACTCTGGAGATTTAGGTCTTACACTAAACAAGCTCTAATAGCAAAAGCTAAAATTGCTCTTGGCAGAGTTAGAATTGTCCAAAGTAGTAGAATTACCAGAATATTGATGCTGTGTTGAATTTTTCATTTTGCTATTTGAGATTTCCAGTGAATGGTAAAATAGAGCACCAGATTTAAAAACCAGTAATTTTACATATCCTTCTACTCTGTGGTGCAACTATTGGAGTGTAACATAAATTACTGTACAGACAAAAACATGATAGTGCTCTGGGCATGTTTCAAATGTTGGAATGTTGAGCACTGACTCATCCAAAAAAATTACATAATCACGAATGCAAGAACAACTTGTTCAATTTGCATAGTACTTAAAATACAATTCTTTCTTAGTTAAGTTCCCTTCTTTAATACACAACTAAACACAGAGGACCACATTTATCTGAATTACCTTGAGTTAGTGCTTAATTAATTCTGTTTTCTGCCAATTCATTTAAAAGGTGGGAAGGCTGTAGGCTGCGCTTCTTGTAAAAATGAATTACTGTTAAATATCAAACAAACAAATCATTCCTTATCCCTTTTCATAACTGTCACTGTCTATATGTGTAAGGATCAAATTCAGCTTCCATGAACCAAAAAAGCTGAAGTAGTTTTTAAACAGTATTTCAGCATGAAAAGCAAACAGGGTTTTTGGCTTTTTTTTGGTTTTTTCACCAGACATCTTTTGTTTTACACCATAGCCACCTGTGTTTTTTCTTGATGACGTTTTATTTTTTTAGTTTCTTTATTCATTGTATTTCATTGCAAAGCATGCTTATGAAGGTCATTTATCCATAATGATGTGGTTATAAAAGTGTTTTACTTTCCTTTTTTTTCTTCCTTTTATGTGGAATGTGTATTTCTTGTGAGGTAAGACCCTCAGCACGTGAAAGGAACATCTTTTTTCTCTTCTCAATCCAGACTGCTGTTTGTCCTCAATCACTTTAATTTCTCCATGCTGTCACAAACCATTTGTTTCCAGTCTGCTTTCTGGCCTAGTAGCGCTGCCTTAGGTTTTATTTTTAGCTCTTGCTTGTAGTTGCAAGAAATCTCTCATTGTGGGCTTAATTTAGGATATGCTGATTGCTTTGCTCCTGCAAATTCTTTAAATATTTTATTTGTATGCAGTGTCTGTGATTAAAGAAAGATGAATCCAAATACTGTTAAAAATCCACTGCAGACCAAACCCAGCAGAGTGGCAGGATATGTCCTGCAACGTGCCATAGTGCACAGTAATCCATGCTGGGCACGTTGTGAAGGACACACCAGCAGTGCCATACACGCAATAAATACTCAGTGTTATTGCTTGTGGTGCCCTCATTTTACTGCCTCTCATTTAATTGTTTACATAGAACATGTAGTCTTTGTCAAGCAGCAAAAGAACTCAGAAGTTTCATATACAAATTTAGTAAAAGGACCTACAGAGGTCTATAAGAATTAATTTATGTTTTCCCATATTTTTATTAGGGCTAAGGGTATAAAGCAGGCTTTGGAGGCTATTAACTTCTGGGTTTTTTTGTCCTTAGGTTTCAGAAATATCTCCTTCCCTTTGCTTTCCCTAAATAAATTCCTGAAGGTAATGGAGTGCCCACAATATTTGTGGTAATGTAAAATCTAAGGCCCTCTTGCCTCAGGTCCTGAAAGCATACATTGCCACAGGGAGTGTCCAATCTCCAAAGTATGTGGAGAACAATTTGGTTTCAATATCTATGTACGTGTTTCTTTAAATAAAAGCATCGAGTGGTACTGCTGCACAATACAGGCAAACTTATTTTGGTTCATTTTAACTGTAAGATAAGGCCATGTGGGAGGCATAATGGTAGTGTTGGCTGATGTCCATAGTTATTGAACTGCATTTTGAGGGCCGATATATTAGTGAAGTTAGAAACATAAACCTGACTTCACTTTCCCAGGTTTATTTCATGTAAACAACACAATCATGGACATTAGTCATTTCTGTACAGTTGCTGAAGTGATCCTACATTTTTGGTCCTGTAAAATGAGCACTTTATGCAGAGGTAGCTCAAAAATAAACCACAATTACAAGAATTAGCTTTAAAGGTAAAACACATACTCTGTAACTCCCATATCCTCAGCCAGTCTGAACAGCCTTGGGCATGCGAGGTCCAGTTGATTTGGCATTTTGAGGTTATTTTTAAGATAAGGATGCCACTAATGATGGGAGCTCCATGTCAGGACTGTTTCCCCTGTATATAGAACAGCAATTTCTTACAACCTGAGCTGTGGAACGTTTTCTGATGGGAAGATTGAGTCATAAACAACAATAAAACCCCAATAACGGCAGGCTTGTTGTGTAATTTATTATTCTTCAAGTCTTTGGCAGTGATTCATGGAGCATTTACGCTTTAGTGAATAGTTTATATGGATTTGGTAGGTCAGCCAGCATATACTTCTCCTGTGAATGTTTTCAGGTTCAGAGCTGTGCTGTGCTTGTTGGCACGTTAGCCTTCCAAATTTAGTAAATTGGAATTATTTAATGCCAGTTTTAAGTGGTGGAATTTAAGATCTGGCACGTGAATAACGTTATGACAAATGAAATTTCACAAAAATTTATCAGTGTGCAACACGATTCAGAAAATAGCATGTTTTCTTCATTAGGAGCTGAAGCAAAGCCTAGAATTTGTTACTGTTGCCTCACAGGCAGCAACCCTCCAAAACAACCCTTCGCTAGCAAATCGTCCTTCCTTTCTTCCTTGCAACTGTGCTCCCCTTTCACTCGAGGCTGATGCTGTCGTGGTGGGAAGTCCCCAGAGGGGCATTATGTACATTGAGATATCATCTGAGATACCAGTGGGCTCTGCAGACACCTGCTCCAAGTCCCTGCCATCAAAACAATACCTTTTCACAGTCGTACCAAACTGTCCCTATCATCCAGTAGAAATATATTGCAGTTGAGGAAATGGATATAGCCAAAGCTGCTGCTTTTACATTCACCCTGCTTCCTTTTCCTCTCTGCCACCCAAGGAGCTCTCTCCTTGTAGAACTGCAGTCAACCTACAGTTTTAGGCAATAGAAAAAGAGATGTTTGATAGTCCTAAAGACTGATGGTTTCCTAAGGATTTCATGCCCCATGCTCAGAGAAACAAAAGGAGGAAATAAAAACTGAACATACCTGGAGCTGGGAGGCACTGGGGGTTTGCGGCACAGCTGGGGGACTGCAGGGGAACCACCTGACACTGAAATTATTTGTCTCATTTTACAGCAGCCAAGAGTTTACTGAAAAAGCCGGATGGAGTTAAGGTAGGTTAAACACCTGCTTTCCATTTCAAAGATATATTCTTAGTCTCCACCTGTCTGTAACTTCTGCCAGGTTTTAGAATTGATTATTGCTATTTCTGTCCTTCATAGATTCTGTTAGTAAGTGCTTCTCACTAGCTATTTGGAGTGGTTAAAGTTAGTAGAAAAGGCTTTGAAATGAATTAAAACAAATACTTGAAAAGCCAGCATTTAGTAAGCAGAAGATAGAAAACTACTGGAGAAAATGCTTTTCTTGCTTTTTAAATGAAGAATAATAATGTAATTAATGACTCAGAGTTATCAGTTAACTTGTAACTAATGGTTTGGTGGTGGGCTTTTTAGGCATTAGTGTTTATGTGCAGCTCTGTTGCCTCTTTGTTTCCCCTTGACTTTCCACTAGATTTCGTGGAAGACCAAAGGTGTACGGGTAGGCTTGGCTCCACATGAGGTGTGTTCTGCCAGATGTACTTGCTATATTTGGCAGAACTTGAGGGGTTTACTGTCTCAGATAAGCTCATCCTGACTAAGAGACCTTGTTAAGAAGGGAACATTTTGGCAGCTTTCGTACATGGTTTAGAGCTCCTGTTCTCACATCACCAGACCCTGCAGGAGGAGAGATGCTTTACACATGAATATTCTGAATAGATACTTTGGAAAAAAAAAAAAGAAAAATAAAACCCAAAACCACTCAGCAGAAAATGTATTTTGGTTTTTTTCCTCAGAGGACTCTTAAAGACTAGTATAATGCTTCAAGCTTTCATTATAAGATGCAAAAGATATTCTTCTGTGCTCTGTGTGTTTATTCAGAAGGGTGTCTTTGACCTGAATTTTAATTTTCTATTTAAACTTACTGTCTTGCTTTAACAAAACATTATAAATACTTGCCTAAATACCAGATTCACAGTATATTTGTGCCTGCTGTCTGACATATGCACACTTTGCCGATCAAAAAATCCCGAGCCTGACTTGCAGAGAAATGAGTACAGTACCATTGCATTGCTTCTCACTGCCAAGCAGTGGAGATCCCAGTCACATGGAGAAGCACACATTTGGAACAGTTCTATCACTGCTGGAAAACTCTGACCATGTTTCATTGTGGAATAAATAAAATTTATGCATTGTCTCTGACCAGTTTTCCTTTTTAAATATCATTCCTCCTACAGGTCTACAATGCTATTTGTTCTGTCTCAGTTATAATATGGGAAACAATTGTTGCCAAAATTTTGCCTAACTTTCACCTGTTGGGATTCAGTTCTTTGGTTTTCAGCATATGTTATGTGTTGCTGTTAGCCTGCATGGTCATGTGGAGCAAAAGGAGTAAATGTACATCTGGGGAAGTCTTTTTTTGTCGTTGCTGTTATTGAGATGCTGTTATTGAGATGCTCTGTAGCATTTTTCCACCCCTTCCAACAGCTGTAGCTGTCTTTTTCTTATTTAAAGAAAAAAAAAAAAAAAAGCCAAAAGAGAAATATACTGTACTCCATGCATTGATACTGCAAATCCAACCAGTCACGTTTTCTTCTTTTCCTTTCTCTCTGACTGGTCAATTCAGAAAAGGAAGTCCAGTTCGAGTGTTCAGATGATGGTGAGGATCTTTATCGACAGATTTTTTTTCCTCCTGTGAAACGTTCACACTTAGAGAAATCCAACAGTTGCATTTAGCTTTGTTAACTTACTGTGAGAACTGCAAGACTTTAAAGTACAACCTTGTGAATTTTAAGCCTGCAGTTGCTATATGCCGTCCACAGTGAATCGTTTGGCCTTTCTTTCAAGCAAGTCTTTACTTTTTTTTTAACCTGGGGACATAAAAAGCAAAAAAAGTAGATGTAACATCAGCCAATGCAGCTGTAAATAAGAATAGTAACAAAACAGTAATCTTGTAACAGCCTTCTTTGTTTTTAAAATCTCCTTATTTTAAAAGCTAATATTATTAATATCATAAAATGTAACACAAAACAAGTTGCAAAGTGATACAGTACTGCATTAATTGAGTCACTGTAGCCCAAGATGCCATGCTAAATGCCCAGGAGTAAACAAGCCAATTCCCCAGCCTTCCCACACTAGTTCCCCAGCTAGCTTGTTCTGCAGCTGAGGGCTGTGTCCCAAGATGTCCCAGATGACAGTCTTAATAACTTGCCTTCCTCCTCAACCTACTCTCCAGTCTTGTGTTCATTTGGCCTCCGTGACCCCACACAATAACTTCCTCTATTGCTGTTCATGGTGGTTTTGAATGTGACCTTTGAGGTGTTTGTGAGGATGGGCTCTGCCTGCTGCTTCTGCTGGCAGAGAGAAGGCAAAGGGCCCTTATGCACACCTTTCACTGGGAAGCCAGCTCTCCTTGGAAAGCAAAAACTGCTGGTCAGGTGCGAGCAGCCATGCAGTTATGCAGGTAAATCCTCTGTTCCTTGGGTGAATGCAGAATTCCAGTGAGAGGAGCCACGGCATCCAAAGGAGGGGCACTGGGCAGGTGCACTGTAGTTATTGCCAGGATCCCAAACCTGAAGTGTGTGTTAACTTTTTGTTACAGAAGTAACATGTGAAAGGTAAAACCCCAAAATACGGACTTTATTTGTTAAAATATTTTCATATTCTATGGGAAAAGGGCCAATAATGATACTAGAGTTGTGCCCAGCTGTTTGGAGTGCGTGTGTGTCTGTCGGCACTATCACACTTCAGAGAGTGACTTTGGGCAAGTGATGCAGCAGTAAAACCTTCTCCTTCACAACAATCAGAAGGTCACTGGTTAATCACAAATCAGCTTTGAAGTAACTGTTTCACATGACAGTATTGTAATCCTTTGGAGTGGTTTCCCTTTGCTGTTAAAAATACATGCAAGATGCACCATGTGTTCCATAGATTAATGGCTCTGTTCTAGGAGAGGGAAAACATGTACAGCTTATTGCTGTTTTCTCGCAAAGTTTCAAAGGGTTTTACCAAGTTCTGTTTACATGGAAGAAATAACATATTTGTTATGAATGTTAGAATTAATCACGTTCTCTCTCTTCCTGGTGTATGCTGGATTCTCAATATCTCACTGAAGAAGTTTTGAATAGATTTCCTGCAGTTTTCAGCAGTAGCTGTAATGAATATTGTTTATTTTCCTAGGGCTTTCATCAAGGGAGTATAGACCAAAGCCTGCTCTCCTTACTCAGGCAAAATTGGAATTGAGCTTTGACTAACCTGTTTTCCTTATGTATTCAACCAAGAGCACTCATTTGGGATACCACTTGAGCTGCTACTGAATAGGACTGTATGAAATCTGGTGAAATCTTCATTTCTTTCCTTAGCTAGGGTCTGTTTAATCTAGTTTCTCAATGACTACACTGGCGCAAAAATATGAATCTGTAGTTATGCAACTCGATATGCAATTTTTGTCTTGCTTGGAAGGTTTAGTCTGCTTTCAGGCAGCAATGTTTGTGTTCCCACTCTTCTACAGATCTCCAGTAGAACTTTCATTTACTGAAATGGATGGGATTTTCTTTAAAGTTTTTTCCTGAGTAAGGCGTTCAGGGTTCTGTCCATCTCAGAATCCCATAAATATCAAAGCAGATAAAATACTTGCCAATACTTAGATCTCCCCCTGAAAGACTTTACGCACAAAGGTGTTTGTTTGCTCCCTGTCCTGACTTCAGACAATCCTACAGCTTACACCTGTAATTGTGCCTAGAGAAATGAAATTTATTTGACAATAAGTAAGCCAAGTCAGAGTGTAATCACTTGCAACTCAATAATGACTCATATGTTCTTTTAATGATAATTTCTGTGGAAAGACAATTGTTTAAAAAAAATAAATGCTCTTCATCCTTCTGCTGTAGAGCATTAGCAACTTTGCTTTTAAATCAAAGAAAATTATTTTTATTCTATATAGTAAAATGGTATCTATCACAAGTATTATTATTAAATAATATTTAGTGTCGGCATAATGTTCCCTGATTAACTAACAAAACTACTATATTCTTCAAAGCCGTTAAATGCTGCTTAAAAATTAGAAAAATTGCAGTCTGTAATTCATTACTGCAAATCCTGCGGACGTTCCCATAATTTAAATGTATCCTAAGTAAGATTCACTTCAGCTGCAGGCTCAGTTCCTGAAATCCACAAGTCAGCTGCCACACCTGGCCCAAATTAAAATAATCATCATAAAGTGCTGAGGACATGGAGTCTGTGAATTTAATTCTTTCTATTCCATAAAGTTAATTACATTTTTAGAAAAATCCATTAACAAAACAATTCCAGGCATTTCTGGTTTTGCTTTGGACAGTTATTACTAAGTGCTATGACTAGAAGTTCAGTAGAACTTGGTTTTTTGGATCAAAGTCTTTTCAGATGATCTGCATCTATATACCTAGTTCTGTATGATGCTTTGTACCACCCTTACTAAAATTAGACATGACCAAAATGTCCATAATATTTTTTCCTCATAATTGTTAGAGAGGAAAAAATACATCTTCCCAATCAGTTTTACAATATTTGAATCTTGCTTCTTAGTGCATGTAAAAAGGGGCTTGCTACATTATTTTTAGTATTTCTGTTTTTCCCATACCCCATGGTATTAATGAAAGTTAAATCTTAAAAAATTTAAAGGATCAGATACCTTGAAACTTCCTGCTGAGCAGTTTAATTTGAATTAATATTTTGTTCAGATAAAAGCCAGGAAGTATAGCACTGTGCTAAGCTTAAGGAGCATCATGAGGACCTATATGTAAAGTTAAACAGAGAGGTGCTGATGTCTGGAGTAAGACTACAGGTACCATAGTGGGAAACCTCGTGCTTCGGAGTCACAATACCAGCACTGAGAAGCTGCCAGTGATTTTCTGCTAAAAATAGCACCAAAACAGCTCAAGGGGCACAAGTCTCTTTCTAGTGACCATCAAAATTATTTTGAAGTGGAATTAGAAGCCAGTAGAACAAATTACAGATTTTTGAAGCGCTACAAATATTCAAATGTTAATAATGGTAGGCATAATTCATTAGAAATAAAGAACTGTTGGGTGCAATGACCGAACACCATTGCATGTTACAAAATGGCAGCAGCTATTTAGGACTTTGTTGCAACCCGTATTGATTCTTTATTCTTCTTAGATGTACTTAGCTGCTACTGAAGGTCTCTGTTAAGTGTCTCAGTTCATCTGTCCCTTAGCTAGACCATGGTGCAGGGCTCTGGCAGCACGTGGGGAGGCACTGCCAGCCAGCTCCCAGAGTTAGTGTCAGTGTTTCTGCGAGTTCCCAAGTTCATCTTTCTGTATTCTTTATTTCCATATCTATATCTATCTATAGATACCGATACCTGTCTATAGATGTTGTGTGCAGAGATATAGATACGGTGCCTACCACGAGTTCTAAGGCCTGTCTGTTTCTGTTTTCTGCATACCTACAGATAAACAACAAAACCAACGTGGTAACCAGCCCCAAGGAAAATATTCCTACCCCGGCGCTGGTATACCTGGAATTTTCCTTCTCATGCTATCTGGAAGTTTTTGACTGTCTTCTGTTTGTTCTTCTTTTTTTTTTTTTTTTTCCCTCTTTTTTGCTTTTTCATGCATTTACTCTGTTTGCTTTCTAAAAACAGGTTTTGGAAAACCTTTTTGTTTGAATTATGCTGAATTTTTTTTGTGAGGAAATCCATTAGAGCGTGTTTATTGACAGAAAATGTTAAATGGAAGCTGGATGCGGTAGAGTCGTAGCATTTGTAACCGTAGCTGAATTTTTTGCATGCTGTGCTAGCAAGTGAGTAGAATGCGCTTGGTGTTGCTCTTAGCTCTTTGCCTGATGACTGTTTCCACCTTCTAATGCTAACCTTTTGCACCAACAAATTTTTTTAAAACCAGCTCTATTATTTTCTCAGCTTTGTCTTAGTTAAAGTATTGACATCCAGGAGAGCTAACAGGATTATTACTAGGCTGCCATAAAACAGACCTTATTCAGATTTTCATTCCATATTTCCTGAAACTCAGCAGGACTTTGCAAGACTACTCTGGGATCAAGAGGCATCTAGAGCTAAACATTTTGCTTGTTTCTCTTCCATTTAAATCAGCAGGAGACATTATTCATTAATAAGCTCTGCTAAGGACATACTAAAAATCAAAATTATGTTCCTGGATGTTTACTGCAGTCTCACTTCTATTAACAGCCCTATTTTTAAGGCACCTGTGTATCACAGGGCTCACCAATATAAATGCCAGTGCCAAAGTACATCGTGTTGTGACGTTGTTGTTTCCCATGCACATATAAAACTTTGAAAATGGGGTAGTTCACACACATTTGGAAGCATTTTTCCTCTGGAATTTTTTTGAGCATCTGGCACTGAGGCACGCAGTAAGTTCTTCCTAAGGCCGAGTCAGCAGGTTTCATACAGGAGTTTATGGCAGTCTGTTCCCACATGGAGCCATTCCTGATGGCCCATGCTGAAAGCATGCTGGCTAACTGCCATTTCAAAGATTATTGAACCTTTTTTTTTTAAGGTTCAAGGATCTGGGGAAATTACACTTTTAAATGATACAAAGATCTCTCTTGCTTGGTTTTATGCAGCTCTGCCAAGGCAGGAGTTGAGGGCAATCCACGCATTCCAAACCAAGGTGGTGTCTAGGGGTAGTCATCCTTAATCCTTATCAATTCCTCCGTATTTCAATTTGATCACTTCGTGCTAATACAAACAAACATGATTAAAAAGAACAAGTTATTAAAGCTTAAAGATTTGTGGCCGCCCTGCCTGTCCAGATTCAGACAGGAAAGCCCACGGAGCATTTGGCCTGCCCTCGTCCAGAAGAGCCTCTGCAGGTCCCCAGAGCTTCAAAGCCCTGCACACCCTGCTCCTGAATAAGGTCTCTGCATGCTGCTGCATTAGGTGAGATGGCCTTTTTTGCTGGCTTGCTGTTGAGGAAATCTGTGTTAGAGAAATCCAGTTTCACCCCCTGGTGACAGTTAACATTTGTTTTAACTCTTGTCAGTGTTCAGCATTTGTGAGCTGGCTCTTCTTGCACCTCACACCAATGAAAATGTATTTACCAATGGGAACTCTTTCTCTCTTTATTTTGTTCTCGCTCAGGAGCCCCAAACTACAGTAATCCACAACCCTGATGGAAATAAGGTATTCAGAAAGAATCAACTCCATCTTGCTTTTCCACACCACACATTCCATCCACTATTCCACAGCACAATAGGGCCGTTTCAAGAATTTGTGAAGGAAAATCTCATTCCTGCATTTGTTACACCCGATGTCTCTCAAGCCTGTTTTCATCCGTGTCCATTTCCTGCGTGCGTCCTGCTGCTTCTGAGCTCCTGAAGCACTTGGGGGAGTTGGTAGCAATGGGCAGAGCTCAGTGCCCTGTGCAGCCCAGCTCAGGGAGCAGGGGCTCTCTCTCATTTCAGCCAGAAATGCTGCAGTCTAAGGGAAACCTAACAGTGCTGTTCTCAGATTGTGGTGAGGTGATCCAGCGAGTTTTGCGTGCAGTCGTCACCTCAGACAAAGATGTCATTTCCGTTTATTCCATCTGCTGTTTCTCAGCATGCTTATACATTGTGTTGTGACGTGTCTTTTGCACAGGACTTTGGTTTTCTTCCATAACATCACTGGGCAGTTTCCAAAAAAAATGTCACATTTCAAGTGACAAAGAGGTCTTTTGATTTTTACATGTTTTCTTCATGCTCTTTTCTTTTTCTCATGTATGGTAATGTTTGCGTCTGGCAGCTGATTCCTAAAACGTGTTTTGTTTTGTTTTTTTCATGCATGGACTTGAAAAGGGCCAGGAAATACCATCATTTACATTAACACATGTTCCTAGGTTTCCTGAAGAGAACTTATGCTTCAACAAGAATTTCACTGTTTGCAGTGCTGACTTAATTCACATCCCACTTACCTAGCCTTAACTCCCTGTGGTTATTTCATAAGAGAAGGAGTGGATCTGAGTGATGAAATAACGCATGCAGACATTCCTCAAGCATGGAAGTACTGGTGGTGTGTGTTGTGCTTTTGTGTCCCAATCCTTTATGTCCCCTGCATCTGTCCAACACAGAACTTGTGTTTTCCTGTTAATACTCTTTCAGCTCCCCAAGTTTAAACCCACAGGCCACGAGCAGCCTGTGTTTGAACAGCAGGCTGATTTTTATCGCTGAAGTCCACTAAAACCCAGAAAACCCAGATCGAATATTGGCATGACTACATCTACTTGATTTTATTACATAATCTCAGCAACTAAGATTCTCAATGTCCCAAAAGGTCACAGCAACAAATTAACCCCTTAATGAGGAGAGTTCCTCCTAAATTTGTCTGAAAGACTGATCCTTGTAGTATGGCAACTGGAGTGGATGCTTCAGTGTTAGAGGCTACATCTGCCCCGTGAGCTTTGCATGGTGTTTACAACTCATATTTGTGTGAGGTTTTTGTTCACTTGTAAGTACTTTATCTAATATTTGAAGTGCTAGAGCATGATATGTCCATGTAGAGTGGAATGTCTAACACAGCCAGGGCAGGGACAGCATGGTGGCTCGTTCAGTTTTGTTTGTGTGTGACTTAATTCCTCTAGTTTGACTTGTCAATGCTTATTTGGGTTTTGAAGGTCTGGGTAATGCATTAGCCCTCTTGAACGTTCCTTTGGCTCAGCCTTGTGAGGACACAGTAAATAAAGGGCACTGGCAAATTTACCTTTCATTATGTAATGGTAAAGTCCTTTAAAGAATTAAATACAATACTAGTTCTGTCTTCTCTCTCAGATAAAACAAGATCAGTTAATCTTTCTTCTTATTGAGCTGCAAAAAAAAAAATTAGTTTTACTTTTCAAGAAAGTATAGAGATAAAAAAAACATCTAGCTTTAAACTTTCCAGCTCTCTGCAGCTGTTAGATTTGACAGTGCCCTGTTGCATTTGCCCATTATATTTCATGTTTCTGGTAATTAAGGAAAGACTGAGATGCAATATCCTTGCCTTTTTAAGTGCAATGGCTTAAGAATAAACTGTCTGATCAATGAGTCATTCCTCTGCATGACTGGTTGGTTGAAGAATACTGCTATGAAGATGCCTTAGTTTGTCAAAGTTCTTATCGTACATTCATCAATTCTCCACCTCCTTAAAAAAAATCACAAAAACGAGTATAAAAATGAGGTCATCTGATTCAATATGCTTCAGATCACTGTGAGACTTCATTTGAATATACATTGCTGAAGTCACACGAGCAGGAAATGGGTTGTAAATTGTAGAAGCCTGCATATTTAGAAGGTGAAATTGGAATGGAATGACTTATTTTGCACAGTTGGTTTAATCACTAAGCTTAAAATGGCAAGCACTCCTACTTGGCTGAAGTAATTCATACATTTCAGAATGGACTTTGTAGAGCTGGATGTTAAAGGGAAAAAACTTCCCTGTACATTCCTGTGAATTAAAAGCATCAGACTGCAGGAATTGTATTTGTGTTCCCTCCTGTGGAGAATGGCAATGTTTGACATCCATTTCAGGTGGAAATGTCTCAATCAGTGTGTGCCCATTTGTTTGTGAATGACATCCCACCCTGCTTCAAGGCTTTGCATGATTCCTGTAACTAATCCTGTCATTTTCCTAGGCACGCAAATAAGGCTTGGCTTGTTTTATACATTCAACTCATATTTACTTCTCAACAGGAATCAACAGAAAGTTCCAACACGACCATCGAAGATGAGGATGTGAAAGGTATGATTTTACACTGGAAATGTTTGGAGCAGCAGTAACATGAGTTTCGTGGTTGTATTTCAGTAGGCCATTAAACACAGAAACCCCTAATGAATCTTAGGAGAGAACAGTGTTTTTCCTGTTTTAGAAGCAATTACTTTTGATGTATTTCAGACTTAACTGTAACTTTTCAGTTCCCAAGACACCATTTCCCATGGTGTTTTGGGATTAAGAGTATAAAGTTGCTGCTTTTTGACTAAGATATTAATTCCTGTAATAATAGAAGTAGATTTTAAATGTTTAAGTTAGTGCTTTGTAACTTTTACTTAGTTTATGTTTAACATGCATTTGTGTATTCGGTTTGGTTTTGGGTTTTTGTTTCATGTCACCATTTTTATTTTTATTCTGTTCAGATGCCAGTGTATTCTTTTTTGTTTCATTTTGTTCTGTCCATACACTTATTTTAATCTTCTTTTATTTTTTAAAAAACTGACATCAAAACTTTTTTTATAAACCTGATTTTGTAGCTTCACAGATAATATTTTTTCCATTTTTCCCTGCTCTAAACATTATGCTGTCATGTTACACATACCTATTTTAACAGCATTATGTTTTAAAGCGCAAAGGGTTTGAAAAAGGGAGTATTTGGGTTGTGTGTCTTTGATTCACAAAATAGATTGGCTTTTGGCCTCCAAGAATTATGGTATATGTACGGGTGAAATGTGGGCCGGTGGTGATAGTAAAATAAAACAGGAAGAATGGATGTAACAAAGTGGTGGTGGTTTGAGTTACTGTGAAAGGAAAGAAGAATTAGAGGGATCTGCAGCTGATTAATTGGAAAAGAGTGTAATTTACCTTTAATCATAATGCTTTGTATTTCTTTTTTCAAACTATTTGATGCAGTTTAACAACTAATCTTATTAAATTAATATTTTAATTATAGGGCCTCTGTGTGATGATGTAATGTGGTGTTATTACAGTAGGGTTTTTAGAAAATTCTGTCTGAAGCTTACCACAGCTTACCTCAGGGAGACACAATTATATGAAAAAAGAACAATGAAAATAATTTGCCTAATTCTTTTATATGGTTCTGCAGTATCATAGTTAAGGGCAAGTTGGATGGCCACAATACATGGTATTCCCAAACCAGAAAAGGGGATCTTGCAGTAAGCACAGGTCAGAGGAACAAGATCCTGTTTGTGTCTTTCCCTGCATTGTACAGGGATTTAATTTGCTGTTTATTTAAAAGACAAATATAATCTGCCGCTTATTAATTGCTCATGAACTTGTTTGTTTTTTACTTTTTAGTATTCCTCTCACACTTCCCATCTTTCCTCTGGAGGCTGTTGTTCATATTGTTTTATTATAAATTAAAGCTAACAGTGCCCCTAGGGTCTAATTGGTAGAACGATTTAGGGAATAGGCAGTCCTGCAACCCTGACACATACTATAAGCTCAAGCTTCCTGCTCTGACAAGGCACTTAGGAAAGTGCCTTTCCCCATACACCAAGCTTTATTCCTGGATGTATATTTTGTAGAACAGTGAGAAAGCTGTTCTCTTGTCAGCAACAGCACTGCAGATAAAATACTGATAGGAACAAATGGATTTCAGAGGAAGGAGAGAGAATTCTCCAGGTCCTTCTTAAACGTAGGCTCAAGATGACTCAAGATATTTGTCACCACGTTTGAGACCTAGAAAGAATGTTTTGCACATTAGATGATAAAGAATGTTTAAGAGCTTTTTGCTTTTCTTTGCAGCCTGGAGTGCAGCATGGGAAGAGGCTCTGTCCTTCCCAGGAAGGAGCAGGGGGCTGTGGCTGTAGCTGAGCAGTAGTATTAGTGTGTGTTTTATGGCACTGCAGTGTGATGCACACCTCCCAGGGAGTGGCTCTGCACAGACAGGGCCAGGACCCTTCCTTTGTGCAGGGGCTGGGGCTTTGTTCTTTGGTGAGGTGCTGCTGCCACACCTCTGTTGGCCTGTTATGGGGTACAGCACCCCCAACACGCTCGTGTCTCTTGTGCACTGTGGGAGCCAGTGCACATGCGTGTCTGTGCCAAGTGTTATGAACATTAGGATTCATTAAGACAGGCAGCAATTAAAAGTGTCTTACATCACCTATCATTAATGTATCCTCAGGATCAAATTCTCCTCCTGTCTGTCAGGGATGAACGGCGCATTCTCCCCTTGTGTCAGGATCTCACCTTGTTTTCACTTTTGAAGGCAGGTATTTAACTTGAAGACAGTAAAATCAGGCTTGCTTTCATTTTTTATTTACTGGAAATCTTAGTATCTGTAACATTGCCTTATTTATGTATACACTTACCTCTTTCATGGCTGGAAAATATTTCTTTTAGTAGAAAAGCTTTAATAACTCAAGCAATAAGCTAATTATTTCATTTGAGTCTGAAATGAGTTGAAGCTGTAGTTCAGGTTTGTTGCCAAGATAAATTTCTGACATTAACCATCGATCATGGGCTTATCTACATGACAGTGATCCCTTCTAAATATGATAGGAGCAGACAGGAAGAACATGCTGAGAACTGGACTGTAGGCAATGCCTTCTTCTGGAATTGCTTGTAGGATTTCTTCTTGCTGTAGTAATGAGACTGGGACTACTGGGCAGCATCTCTGTGATATGGGTTTGATTTTTCAAGTAATGCTGTGGAATAGCACCATTATTTTTGTCTGCAGATTTTCAGAAAGGTGAGTTGTTAAGTTTCTCATGGTGTCTTTTTGCCCCCAGAGACAAATTAGCAAAAGCATTAGTAAGAATGATGCTTGGCAGTGGGGAATTGCTGAGCTGTAAGGCACTTACAGATTTGACAAATTGTGATTTACCTGTGCTGCTTAATACATCTGGAAGGTACATTGCCTCGAAATATTTAATGTATTTGTAATTCATTTTCTACCTGTTGGCCTAATTTTATGTAACAGTAGAAGGAAAGCAGTTTAAACTATTTCTTTTGGAATATACATTCCTCAAAAATAATTCAAATTTCTAAGAATAGTTTTTCCAAAGCTCTTTCAAAGCCCTTTGTATCTGAGTACCGGATACAGGGGTAAATCTGCACTGGCATCTGAACAGAGTCACTCACACCTATGACCTTTACCACTGTCCTTTGGCACCCACATTGCCCCTGAAAGTACATCATTAACATTGTTTGTGTGCTCAAAGATTTTCTAAGTTCTTGCTGCTTCTAATTAAATTATCATTATTTTTCTTTTGGCCTTCTTTTTTTCTTCCTTCACATGTACTTGACCCTCACACAGCTTTCACAAAGGAGGAGGACATGGAGAGGTTGAGTTCCACCCACCACTCCTCCTCTTCCATTGCTTCTTCATCCCACTGGTCACCACCCTTGCCGTGCCCCAGAGGCCGCTCCTGCTGCCAGTGCCTGCTGAGGAGTCTGATCACACTCTACCTCTTCATCTTTGTTTGTTCATATGTTGTGTTTCTTTCCATCAATTCAGCGGGCAAGTCCATGAGAAATGCAAACTCAGAGAGTCAATCGCTTGAGTCTGAGCTCTCCCACTCCACTCCTTCCTCTGTACTATGTAAGTTGAGAGACTCATCTGTCAGATGATCTCCTTTGTCTCTCCTCTTCCCTCCCCACCATCTGACAGAAGCTCACAAAAGGTCAATTGCTGTGGTCTTCCTGATCTAGGAATGACCTGTCCTTAGCCGTTACAAAAGTAAAATTTCTTAGGTATTTTTTTTCTTGTTATTAATTGTAAAAACATTTTCATCAGCTGTAACAGCCGAATAAATATAAATATGTCTATTTCAGAAAGCCATATCTTGCAGCAGTCATCTTTGCAGTAGTTTTCAACTTAGGGAGAAAAATTTGCTTCACCTCTTGCTTGGATCCTGGATAGGGCCTCAGCATTAATTACCTGTTACATTTATTATATCAAGTTCCTTTCTTGAGCATCCCTATTGATAAATCAGCCTTGAAGTTGCTGTGGCAGATGTTAACTTGCAGTGTTGATAGGACAACTGGGAAATGTCCTCCTCTGCTCAGGGGATCTCTGATGATCAGTGACCAGCTGACCATAAAGGAAATCTCCAGTGTTAAAATATGAGAGGGGAAAGGCACTGTGTTGGTAGAATGTAAAATACCTGGGTAGAGCATTTCTTGTTTGTAAATGAACTCAGAAATTCTTCAAAAATTCCTTGGAGGGGGTGAGACCTTGTGAGTTGAAACAGGGAATGAATTCCTGGGAATGAGGGTTCTGCTTCCAGGGAAGGAGGGTCCTGTTGGATAGGCTCTGTCAATATATGGCCGAGCATGTATTAAATAGGAAATACAAATACTGCCAGCACAAACTGCTCAGAGCCAGGGAAAAGAGAGGCATTAATAGGAGAGATCTGGGCTGTGTAACAGGGAGGATTGGCACGTCAGTAACATGTGCCATAAGGCTTTATTCCATCCTTGGTGCAGATCCACACAATATCCTTTACATGCCTAGCATTTTCAGATCTGAATGCTGGCTGCCTCACATGTCCTGTTTCTCTGAACTAGTTGAATGATTAGACAGGAGCACAGTTTAAGTAAAAATATACACAGCAGCAAAGCTTGTTAATGTCCCACTCATCAAGACTTCAGACACCATTTCTGCAGACAGTGGCCAGTTCCATACAGTTGTTGGGAAGCCATAGTGTAGTGTCTTGTAAGTGCAGTGAACATGATGCAGCTTTGATCTGAGACTGTAGGTGATTTCTCATTAAAAAAATAAACATTTGCCAACATTTACTATGCTGTATAAATATTAGTGTAATTTTTTAGTACAATCACATAAAGAGAGAACATCTTTAGACATAATTGATTCCATATACTATATAAATAAAAATATACTATGTATGGCCTGTGACAAGTTGCTTGACATTAATTGAAATAGACACATTAGTTTTGTTGGATCTGTTTTGTCAGTACACGAGTGGAAAAGCTCTGGGATAATTTTTCAGATATTTGCCTACATGGCTAAATAATTTAAATCTTTTTAAGGCAGTAGCAGGCTTACCAGTTTCCAATTAGGTGAGAGATACCAAATAACGCTGATAAAATTCTGCAGATCATCCATCCATTTCATAATTGGATGAATCAGAGCAAGCCTTTGGAATCTGCAGGCTCTAGAAAAAAGATGTACATGCGAGATGACAACTCAGATGTTTTACTCCCTATCAAAATTTAAGATTAAGTGTGGGCTAAGAGAGAAGTGCTGCTGTTCTGTACACTCAATCTTCATAAACTTCTTAAATGAGAAGTCACCTGGAGCATGCCTTGTCATCTGATGGTCTAGGTGGGTTTTATAAAGATCTGAGACCCAGTCAGTCATTTATTCATGCAGCCTGTTCTTTTATTTTCTTTTCAGAAATTATTTAGTTGGAATATCTGTGGCAGAAATTGTAAGAAAAATTATTAGCATAGAATTTTCAAATATTGGTGTCATGAGAATAATTTGTAAGAACATTGTGCAATGTTCAGCAGTCCATGCTCTAAAGCTGAATGAAATCTGGTACATCCACACAGCCAGAACTTGTTATACAACACAGGCTAAAATTTCTAATATCTTTTTCTTTCTTTTCAGACTTTGGTTATTTCCAGAGCATAGAAATAACGACTGGCTGTGTGCTTTCCATCTAACTGGTGTTTGTTGGTCATATGGGTCATATGTTGGTCATATGGGAAATGAAGACAGGTTCCCCCTGCTGTGCCATTCCATTTTAGCAGGCCATTGTCACCTCAATACCAACTGTCCTGTTTCAAAACAACAGCACAACGGGGAGGATTTGTCCCCCTGGATTTAACCCTCCTCTACAGTGTAGAGCTGTGTTTGAGCTGGTTGTCTAGACTCCCTTTAGCCAATGCAGATAGGTCAGATGAGTCACACTTGTCTTAAAAATCTATTTTAGGATATGATGAATTGTGCCCTGAAAGTGCTGATTTCTCTCCCTTGACTGTAAGGGAGGGGAGTTGAGAGAACAAACTCACTTGTCTGTACTTATATATGTCCAAAATGTTGTGAGATTAATCCAATCTGAGGTGCACAGAGATATGTAGTTAAGAGTACCCAGTTAAAAAGTTTTTTAAGGGTTTTTGCCTTGAGAAACAACATGTGAACAAGTCAGATGCAAAATCATTTTAATCATCTCAAAGTGTATGAGCAAATCTGGAGCAAGGTTACCTTGTTCTTCTGGACAGGTGCTTCTCTGCTTAGGCATTGCTGTAAAGTGGTGACATAGGCATCTGAAGGGTTGATGGCAGGAGAAGGATGTTCCTATATCTGTGTCAAGCATAATGTTGTTTAAATTATTGTTTTCCCTGGTGTCAGTTTTGAAAAAAAGATGGGTAATATAGTGGTCAGTGAGTTACAAGGGCTCTTTTTTTGTGCGTCAAAAAACACACAAAAAGTGAAGTTTCAGGTACAGATATTTCTGAAGGCTTCACTTTCACATATTGCAGCACATTTTTATACTACACATTCTCTCTGCAATCAAAATACTGAAATATCTGTTGTTTCTGTCTGATTCTTGTAGATTGAGTTTATAAACATTTCTTGGGGCTTCAGGAGGGGAAGAAAAGCCACAGAGTTCCCTGCAGGAAAAACAGTTTTTGCTGCTATTTTGTACTTTTGTTTTCCTGTGATATTTGATTTCACTACCTGGGGAACTGCTCCTTGTAGGTTGAAAGTATTGATAGTGTTAGATGCTTTTTGCTTAAATGGTGTTTCTCCTGATTTAATGTTGTTTACATCTTGGTGTTAATGGTGGTCTTTAATTTAGAAAGATTATCCCTCAACCTGTAGCTGAGCAAGGAAAAGAGGTAGTGCAATATAGCTAAAGATTAAGGACTCATTTAAAGTTAACATATGTACTGCAGCAGTGATGAAGAAAACATTTTAGCCTGTGGTTGGAAATGTTCTTCTTGTTTGTGTTTTTTTTTTATTATTATTATTATTTGGTCTTTTTATAGCTCTTCTTCATAATATTTTTCTTTCAACTGCCTTTGTCTTAGTCATATACCTACTCACTTGACAAAGCAGGGGGGTTATATGTTTCTAACTGCTGCACCCCTATTAATTACCTTAACTCCTTCACCCTACAGGGGAAAAGGTGTTGTTTAAGGAACATGTCCATAATCTTTTTTGCAATATATTTACTTCACCCATACTCTGAGCAAAGTGTGTCCAAGCCACCATCTTCTCCACACAAACTTGCTGTGTCTGCAGTCTGTTTCCTTCTTGGTTTTCAGGAAAATGGCTCAGCACCTTTGACTTGTCAACAGTGTTCTTCCCTCACACCTCAGTTGTTTCAAAGACACCAGGTGTATTTTTGTTCAGTTATCCTTTGTGTACAAAATATGTATGTTATGCTCTGGAAAGCCATTGTCATATTCTAAAAAACTATAGATGGGTCAGGCTTTACTTTTTGAACTGACTTTTACCACACTCTGTGGAAAAAGTAGCTGAATCAGTTTTACCAGAATCTCATTACAGTTGTCAGTGTTGTTTAGGAAGTTTCGTTTCTGTAGTTTTATTTAGGGAGTCCTGACTGCACATCAAATGAAAAGTATAATAGCATGAAATTGCCACTGTACATCAAACAGCATAATTGTCCTAGAATTCAATACAAGCCAAGTCTACTATTGGATAAAAAAATAAATAATATAAAAGTCAAATGCAAATGGTGATTGTAAGTGACAGTTATCTGGCAGATGGGAACTGGCCAGATGCCTCTTCCCTAATGCCTTGTGTTGTCCTTGTATAGTTTGGAGTGTGTATTTAGATGGAAAAAAAAAATTGGAGTGATCGAAGAGCACGTTATGTGGAGTCGATCAAACTCAGAATGAAAATTTGATAATTTTCTTACCACTCTAAGAACTGCCAATTATTTGTGTGAGATGCTGTCTACAGTAGCAGGACACTGTTCCTACCAATACCATTTCACCTTAGTTTATGTCCAGTGCCCTCCCTATTTCATCCTTTGTCCTAAGGGTAAGTGCAAGGATTTGACCGGATGCCCATGGGCCACCAAGGCACAGCTGCATTTTCCTTCTGCTGCTTTCCAGTCTCCTTCCAAGTCTCTACTTCTTATATTTCAATTTTCCCATCATTTTTCTCTTCCTTACTTCCTTTCAGGGTAAACCTCTGCTTCAACAACAATGAAACAGTAACACTTGTGGTCTCTGTTTGTAGTCTGGCTCCCCACACCCCCACAAATACCCACAAGAGAAAGCGTAAAAGCTAAAAACAATGAGGAGGAGGTTTGTGTAAAATCACAGTGGCTCCTGAGTACTTGAATTAGTCTTTGATGTCTGCTGTTATTTCACACTGCCTTGTTCTTGTATTGAGGAAGGGCTAGGAACAAGGCAGAGGATTTTGCATGATAGGATAAGTCAGTTCTGGAGCACCACTCTCTGAATTGCATTCCACCTCTCCCTTTGGCTCACTGCCAGAGAAACTGCATGTCAGATCACTAAATAGGAAAAAGTGTCATTTTCTAATATGTGTGTAATGATGTCATTGAAAGGTAAGTATAGCCATAGTGGCTTTCACAGTTTCATGTAGTGCTTGTAATTTTGTAGAAAAATCTCAATTTTTCAAAATTTTTCTCAAATCTCAAGCACTACATTTCAACTACTGAGTTGAAAGGCACGTGAATTGGCAACATCTTCCTGTTCCTGACAGTCTGCATTGGGAACTGTGAAGTCTTTGCACAAGTGCTGACACCAGTGCCAGAGCTGGATGGTGATTGTTTGGAGCCAGTGATAAGTGCTGTAATCTCCTTTGCTGGTTCTGCTGGCTTCTGGAGCTTCCTGATGGATGCATCTGCAGACACAGCTCTCCTGAATGTTAGTACAGCCCACACAAACTTTGCTGGAACCCCATTATGTAATTTAAGGTGGCTTCTCTCAGAAAGCTTCATGAAAACATACATTCCACTGCAATTTCATTTTGGAGCTAAACCAGGAAACCCAGCAATTTGGCAACACAGTTCAATTTCTTCCTTCTGGGGTTGATGTGGAATTATATCTTGCGTATCTCAACATCAAAGGTACTGTGGTAAAACTCGGCAAAGGCGTAACTGATGTTAGTGAGAAAAGGAATATCCCCAGTTGTCTTGAGCCAAGTGATGATAAATTATGTGTCCATGTGGTTTTGTGCCTCTCATGTGTGGAAACTGCAGTACCATTGTGGACATATTAATTGCTTATATCATTATCCACTAACATGAGCTCATGATTATGTAGCAACTGATCACAGATTTTTACCTCGTTTCCCACTGTCTGATTTAATGGACTGTAATTTCCTCATCTCTGATTGAGATGTGTTACTGTGTTATTTAATCCAATCCTTTAGCTCAGCTATATGTATGTGAGATGTTGCGTGCAGAACTGGTGATTTCCTCACTGCATGAGGTCTGCTTGTTCTGGATCTCTTTTTGCCAGCCTTCTGTAAGACTGCACCATTATTTCTGACTCAACCATCCCACCACTTGGCTATATGGGTCCTGGCAATGCCACGCAGTGTCCACACAGTCTGGCCCATGTTATTTAAACCGATGATAATGGAGGCATTGCTTCATTAAGAGTCTTTTTTATTTCTACAAATCTTGTGAAAAATAAGGCAGTTCATACTTGAAATGCTCTTAGCCACAGTGCTAACAATCAAGAGCTGCTCACAAAAAGCCTTGGTAGACTTTTATATCCATTTTTTTCACCATCACATTTTTTCTCGCTCATTTCTTTTTGGTCCTTTTCATCTGAATGCTAGGTGTGCACAAAGGAGAAGGTTAACACCACAGTGTCAGTTTTGAGCACAGCATTGGAAAGTTAGTTTGTCTGTGTGCTCCCCCAGCATTTTCTTTAAAAGAGGAATGTGATCTCTCTCTGCACTTTGTTTTAACATTCCAGGCATGTTTTTGTTAATGGTCAAATCCATGTGTGGGAATGTGCTGTACAACTGTTGCTTGCACAACAGAGCTACTGCAGCCAGACTGGCTGTAAAACAGTAATCAGCTTCCTTGAGTTTAAAGTCTAGAGTTGGGGCATGGTTTGTTTTGCTTTTTAAACAGCAGATCCTCCAGTGAAGGAAAGATAATTAGAAGTGTGATAGGGAAGTGGATTGATCTTGACGTGCGTTTAATTTCCTTGTGGATACAGGAGTGCACTGAAGGCAAGTCAGTGTAAAGCTACAATGTAACATCATTTCTGGTCGTAGAAAGGAAGAGAGATGGTTGTTGTGCCAGCTGGGGAGTGGCAGAATACCTGTCAGCTGTCACATTCCACTTTGCCTTCCCCTATAAGATTGGGTTTGTGTCTCTCCCCAGCTCGTAAGCAGGAGATTATCAAGGTGACCGAGCAGTTGATTGAAGCCATCAACAACGGGGACTTCGAAGCTTACACGTAAGCTCCTCCTTTGGAGGGAGTGAGGACAGCTGGGGTGTTTGACACTGTGTAAATATGCATGTTTATATGTGAGTGCCTGTGCTTGGAGTTACATACTGTTGAAATGCCTTCCCAGATGCCCCCAGAAAACACAAGATATGTGCATGGCTGCTTTGCCTGGCTTCACACATCACCAGTTTCAGAAGAGCTGCTAGTATAACTCCAGTGTAGCTAGAAGAAAATAATTAAATCTTGCCTTATATAATGATGTGAGGCCTAAAAAATATCCCTTGCATTGCACAGTCGCGGTTTTCATTGTCACAAGTAAAAATTCCTACTTGTAATAACACTGACTTGTGGGTCTTTTTTTGGTCAAAACACAATTTATATGAAATTATGTGGTCTGCCTACAGTAAGCTGCCAAATTTACTAATTCAGCTGAAACCAGAACTCCATGCCTGCTCCTCATGTTAAGTTCTGTTCTTTTCCAGTGTGATGGCATGAGTAGGTGAAATGTTAATAGGAACGAAAGAAACAATTAAAACTGATCTCTCCAAAGTGATCATCCCTAACCACATGTGCTCATTGCAGCATTTCCTCTATTCTATAGAAAAATCTGTGATCCAGGCCTTACGTCTTTTGAACCTGAAGCTTTGGGTAATCTGGTAGAAGGGATGGACTTCCACCGGTTTTACTTCGAAAATGGTAAATATTCCATTTTCATCTCCAGGTCTTCATCTGTTCCTTGTGACTGTGTGTCTCTCATCTAATGAGCTTTTTGGTTTAGGAGTTAGTTAATTGACTTGTGCAGGGGAAGGGAGTATTATTTTTTTTCAGAGTTCTGCTATAGGTGTGTTTCCATCTGCTTCTGCTCTGCTCATTCACACATCACAGAGCACCTCAGAGGGCAGAGAAGAGTTTCAGGTATTTGGAACTAAAACGTCAAATAAAGAATGAGTTCAGAGCTGAATTATTTTAACTGAAAATATTGGGTACAAATGTCATTAGATATAACAGTGAAACTAAAATGTTGGGAAACTCAAGGTGGTGCCGTCCACTTTATTTAATCCATATATGTACATGGATTAAACATATTTACTTATTAAGTAGTGTGTAATAAATTGTGCTCATTCAACAAAGTATTTTAGTTGTAGGTGTGATTATCATAAAACTCTGCTTATGAATTTGTATCTGCTAAGCCTGAAATTTTTACGTGTAAGAACAGTTGGCATGAGTTCTTTCTTTTGGCTTATCCAGAGCAAATGTGATTTCTCCTGTGTGTACCCCTGTGTGTGTGTGTGTGTGTCTCGTAGCTCTGTCCAAAAGCAACAAGCCGATCCACACGATCATCCTGAACCCGCACGTGCACCTGGTGGGCGAGGACGCGGCGTGCATCGCGTACATCCGCCTGACGCAGTACATGGATGGCAGCGGCATGCCAAAGACTATGCAGTCCGAGGAGACGCGCGTGTGGCACCGGCGCGACGGCAAGTGGCAGAACGTGCACTTCCACCGCTCGGGCTCGCCCACCGTACCCATCAAGTAAGGAGCAGCCCCTCCACCAGCTCACACCTCCCAGGCACATCACATAGTCCAATAGCTGCTTTGGGCCTTAAAAACTGCGAGCCGTCCTCTGGTAGTGTCATTTTTTGTGGTTGTTCATTATGTGTTATACCCACTGCTGCGCGTAGTGTTGGTGCGAAGATTTCTGAAATAATGAGCTTTTTTGGTTGCTGTTTTCTACTGTGATGCCCACCGGTCCAACTTGGTCCCTGAACTGACAGCTTGAAGAGCAGGAAAGTATTTTAATGTAGAGAAAGCTTGATAAAAGTCACACAAAACAGGATTAGAAAACCTGGACTACAGTTGCTGGAAAACCTGGGAAAATAAAAAGCAGTAGGATACATGGAGCTGTGAGAGCTAACCAGAAAGTTTCAAGTAAAATGTGTCACTATTGGGAAAAACTGATGTTTGACAAATACTTAGTGTGATTTCCAGCCACCTCTACTTTCCCAGGCCTAGGTATGTTCATTGCAAGTTGGCTTTGAGCCAGTTTACACATTTACCTTGTAAATTGAGCCATCCCAGTCCCTCTCATGTTCTTATCTCCTTCCCCACACTCTCTGTGCATAACTGCTGAGTATTCCTTGTTGGGCAGTTCCAGCATCCCCATGGAACAGCCTCGCATCTCTCCCATCAGCATTTTTCTCTGCTGTTCATCCAGGCCCTGCCACGCCCTCAGAGTCAGGCAGTGACTGCGTTGCTTGAGCCTCATTGTCACCAGGGTTAATGACAGCACACTCAGGATTGCAGTAACAAAATAAAATGTCACTGCTTGCTCAGGAGGTTCTGCTCAGGCCATTGGTTTCTCTTCTTCAGCAGCCTCTATGAATGAGCCCAAACATCAGTGACTTGTGGTTTCCCAAATAGGCAGCGCTGGTCTAGGCCTGGCTTTGCTCTCTGTATAGGATACAATTCCATTTGTGTCAGGTGTCTTAATGTGGAGAATGGCTGAATTTCCTGGCATGGATGGTAAGGGCTTAGATTTCATCTTTTGAGCTGTCATGTCTCATATTTTACTCCTTGCAACACTGTTCTCCTAGATGAAATAATACTTGATGAAGTAAGAAATAAAGTAGAATGAAGTGTTATACTTCCATGGTGATGATTTTTTTATTATTTTCTTATTTAGGAAAAAAGAAATTTATTATTTAGTGATAACTCTTTTATTTCAAAATGTGAAACCAATGGGAAAAGGAGCCACATGTCCTTTGTTTCTCACATTCCAGCTGCACTGCCAGTGTTTCAACAGATAGTATTCAAAGAGCAGTTACCCTTCCTTGAAATGCAGTGTTAGGTAAATCTTTGAGGTTCTCATAAAGGAGTTTTTGTCAAGGGATCTGAGCTGGGTTTGTGTAGAGCCAGAAAGCCCAAGTGAAGCAGGTTCACCTGGCCCACTGCACCCTTAATAGTCAGTGTTTACAGCACAATGTCATGAAATGGACTAAGGGAATAATTTAATCTTTTCCTCTGATTTTTTTTTCCTACCTTTGTCTTTTTGGGAAGGTACTGCAGGAGGTTCTTTGCAGCTGCTTTTGTTCTCTAATAAAGATGAGGATTTCTGGGACTGCCAAGGGTGGAAAGAGATTAAAAATCACCATGGAGTAATTTTTTTGAGGTTGCCAGGTAGTTTTTGATGTTGCAGGGCAGTATTGGTGAATCTTTTGAGCCAATGGGGTCAGACAGAGGAGATTCCAGGATTGTGAGGGGTGTCCTAGCTTAAGGGGTCACAGAGGAGCCTTAGAGCCAGACTGATGCTTAAAGAGAGATTCCCTGAGTTAGCAACATAGCCCTACATTTGTGGCACTGGCAACACTATCACATGAATCCCATACTTTCGTCTTGAATTCAGGGGAGGGCTTTGGGCTTCCTCCTAGCACTGTTCCAAAATACCATCTGTCTGGTGGTTAGGAGCCTTACTTTCTAGTGTAAAATTTGGTCATCTTCGGTGTATCCTTGATTCTTCTACATCTTCATTGTTCTGCACTGGTTAGGTGTGCAGACATAAACTGGTTTGTAGGCAGGCTGAGCAGATCATTCCCACCTTCTACTTCTGTAGGGTAAACAGCCAGTGCTACCTCAGATGGCTTTGTCTGATAGGATCTCCATTTCCCTATTACCTTATCTCTTTACTGTCTTTTTTTTTTTTTTTTTGAGGTTTGCCTTTCCATTAGCTTGGCTGCTTTTGAAATGCTCTGTCCAATTGTGGTCAGGTCTTTATTTCATTCCCCAATGTCTTTCTTCTCCCTGCTCTGTTCTCGCACAATTTTTGCACTTTTGTCATCTGCAGTGCATCTGAGATGTCCACCTATTTATCTTCAGCTCTCATTTCCAGCCAGTGAGTACATAAACTTTTACAGAGCTTAGCATGTTCTGTTATTCCGTGTAATATTTTTTGGATTACCCAGCCTTCAGTGTTACTTGGTTCTCCTTGCACAATGCTCCTGTTTTGTTTTCTTTTTATAGTGCCTTCCACCTAAGTGTCAGTATGCTACATGAGATCAGTCCTACTGCTTTTGCTCAGCACTAGTGAGTCTCCTCTAGGCTGATAACTCCCCTTTGAGCACAAACATGGTCATTCTTTCTTTATTCCCCGTCTTCTGAAATCTGACTGGGAGATTCCCATGTAGCACCAAGCTAGACCCATCTTCTATAACCGATCCTGAATATTTTTGTACTGTCTCAAATTTCACCTTTGCTTTTCCCAGTGAGAGCAGCAATAACTCCATTTTGGAAAATGAAAGGAACTTAATTAACTTATTGTTCTAGTTCCTTTATCTGAAATGTGTACAGACTACAGCTACTTATTTAATGATTACCAACGCACAGTAGTTAATAATGGCATTTCCATAATAAAAACGTATTTTACACATCATGTCTGAAGATGAATTTCAAATGTAATAAAGTTGCAAAAACGATTATAGCTGTGATCTGCTAGACACTGTATCCTAGATATATTAAACCAGTTGTTGCAAGCACAGTAGCTTCCTTGTTTTCAGGAAGGAGACTGTATAAATCTAAGGATAGATCTGAGCTCTTTGGTAGGTATAGGAAAATGTTTCCTTGTGGCAGAGAACTCATTTGAAAAAGGATGTGAGCACAAATATGTATTTAGTTTATAAATAAATTTTATTCATGGTTCTGCTGTGAGTGGGATGAGGCAAACTTGGGTTTCTGTCTCGTCCATGGTTTCTCTCTGAGTGACAGGAGTTGTGGTAGGAAGTTGTTCTCTCTATCCATGTTTTTAGGGACCTGTGCTAATGTGTTTCTGCAGAGCTGTCTGCTTATCCTCGAAGACTGCGCCTGCCCAATATGGGCAGTCAAAGGGCTGCTGGGCCTGAAAGTGACTCCCTAACCTAACTCCAGCCTCAATGAGGCTTATGTTCCCTCCCTACTCACTGCTCACACTTTCTTATACTTCGATAAGCGCAGTGCCAGAGAGCAGGAATGCAGAGTAAAGAGTTTGTTCTGTGTTTGTGCAGTGCCTAGCGCAGAGGGATCCCACCACGGCTCCAGCCCCTAGATGCTACGGTAATACAAATGATGCTACAACCTCAGTTAGCTACATACTTGCTTCCAGCTCCTTTCCCTTCCTTCTCTCTCTGCATTCAGCTCTGGCATGTCCTGCATGTGAATGACACCTGATTCTTCCTTGTCACTTGGTCCAGTCTTTGTACAAGAACCTCAGTCCATGGCAGTGCCTGCGATGTCCATGCTGAGGAAGTTAAGTTACACCCAGAGATTCACAGCTGAATTCTACCCTCCCTCCCTTAAGGAATCCCTTAAGACACTTTGGCTTCCTGGCTGAATTTTCTTTTTTATTTTCACAGCCCCTCTCTGGCATCTTGTAAAGATGGAAAATGTCTGTAAAGTGGTTTGAAAAATAAAAATGCTTTGCCTGAGTGGAGGTTTTTTCCCTTGTTTTTTCCCCAGTATCATGTTTAGTGATCTCGACAAGATGGGTTTTTTTTCAATAGCATTGGCTAACACTTGAGCATGTGTTGTTATCTGGTGGTGATGTTACCTCAGTAATGGAAATCTGTTTTTTTTTTTCTCCTTCCTCCTAGCTAAAAATATCAGCGGTGCCGCTCTTGCATTTTCTGTACCCAACGCACCTGGTTGATTACCATCTTGGCCATCCTGTTCTCTTCATGCATGTTTCTGAGTGCATGAAGTTGTGAAGGTTCTTCATGTAACACATTTGTGATGCACCACGTTGCTGTATATTCCATCTGTACACTGTTACATTTCAATGAAGGTGATGTTCCATGCAATTAGAGAATAACAAGGCGTAAAAGACAAAAAAGAGATATTGGATGGACAGCAGTAGACACATAATACATTTGTCACTTGCTCCATTTATGCCAAGTTTTGACAGACAACTTTAAAATCTAACGCGTTTATTAAAAAAAAAGGAAAAAAAAAGAAAAAGTATATTTTACCTTCTTTTTTTAAGAACTGTTTTTGACTCCTCCTTTTCTCCCGAGTCCCAGGATTTTGCTTTGGTTCTGGTAGGAATGGTTAGGATTTCCGCTGGCAGCTCCTTTACTGTAAAACAGGTTTTTATCCTAGATGGACAAAATCACTGATAAATGCAGAAGTGTTAATATCTTGGCTTTGGACCAGCTGCAGCCTTCTTAGTTAAATAGTCTATGTAAACTGGAAAAATCTTCTTGTTTGTTGGCCTGGCCACTCCAGAATTAACTGTCAGTGTTCTGGGAAGTCAGCAGCTTCCATTTTCCTTTTGAGTCCTTTTCGCTTTCTTATTTTGCTTAACTGAACGGTTCTGTTGGATGATTAAGCAAAATTAAAAATTGTAAGGAACTAAGTGATAATTGAGAGACAGTTTTTGAGGATTAAAATGGAAGGAAAGAGAAAGATTTTTATCACTTTTAGGATGTACTGTAAATTTTTTAAGGAGGCTTTAAAAATACAATATGTGGGTTAATGTATAGACAAGTTGTGTGGATAATATACTCAAGAAATATTAGGCCTTAAAGCTAAGTATGAAGAGTTTACTTACATTACACTGCTGCTTTTGCTTCTCTGGAAATGAATTACGGAGACACCGGTTTTCCGTGGGACCCTAGCACTTTACCACAGTCTCCCCCTCTTGCCCTCAATCCGCTCGTGTTTTCTCAAGCTCCCCTGGCAGTGTTCGGTGTTGAGGCCGGCGATCCCAACGGGTTTGTCCTGGCTCTGGGCCGAGGGTGGAACGCTGTGCTGGCAGTGTGGAACACCAACTTTGCAGCAGGGACTAGTTCTCCTTCCCTCACATTGCTGTAAAAATACACCCTCGCAAGAATTTCACTTTCTTCCCTTCCACTGCTGCCGGGAAGCCCAGGCTGGGCTGCTCGTGTTCTCCCTGTGGTTCTGTTAGCAGCAGGCTCCTGCTCCCGCAGCGCTGTACAGTGCATGGTATCTCAGTCAGTGTCCTTTTTAGCCGTCCAAAATTTACAGCTCGGCAGCCGGGACTTTTTAAAATGGGAAAGCTTCCTAATTTGTATCATTTCACCTTTCTGTGTTGATTACTAATCAGAAGCAGTTCTTAAACATGTTGATGTTGTTACTAGTGGATGTATGGTAGATGGACTTAAGCTTCTCTGATAATTACTACATGATTTTAAACAATATATATTTAAAGTAAGCATCTACAATAAATGTGTTGAGCCATATTAACCTGCCAATGGGATCTGTGAAAAAAAGTAATGGCCTCATTTTTTTCTCATTAATTTTTTTTCTTTTTTTTTTTTCTTTTTTTTTTTTTTTTCTTTTGTGAAGCGGCTGTAAGTGGCATAACTATATTTAAAATTAACAAATTAGGTGTAGGGTGGTTTTTTTATACTTCTAACATAGCATGTGGTGTTGATGTATTACTGTAGACCAAGTTTGTCTTCCACACCAAGACGTGAGGAAATTGTGATTTGTTCTCTCCACCACAACTGAATTACATACTTCTGTCATTTTGGAACACTGCAATTTACCATGGGACACAGTGTACATATTTCTTGCCATAATGGTAAATGATTGATATATTTAAGGATTAATAAATTTGTGATTTCTGCTGACATTGTGCTTGTGTTTTAATTTCCCAATTACTTGTGATCTTTGCAGTGGAAAATATGTAGTGTCTGTTTGAATTAAGATGCCAGAGGTACAGATGCACATTCTTAGGAGCTGAATTTTCAGTTTGAAAATACAAGTGTTTGCTGTTGTGGTTGTTCCTTTGCTTGGTTCTTAAGTGCCTTTCATGGGGCTGATTGCACACTGCTCGTGCTCTGCTTTTTGGTGGACTGTGGAAATATCTTGTGCTTGTAGGGCCATATTTAGAAATGTTTTAGGTAGTTTCAACATTTCTCTTGCTGCCTTGCTGTATTTCATATATATGCTCACACATTGCTCTGTAAGAGCAGTTATTGTATGATATATAATGCCATAAAATATCTGTAGGCATATAAAAACATACATATAGAAATATAAAATGCATTTACATCTATAAATAATAAGGATTTAAAATAACATAGCAGTTTAAAAGCTTACATATATATATGTAGTGAATTCAGGCTGTCTTAAACCGTGCTGAGCCACAGCTGAGGACAGTTTTTTATACCAGCAGAAAAGAAGGACGAAGGAGAGGAAACAACTTGCAGCTTTCCTGGGTCAGGGAATGCAGAGCTGGACCGGGGCCAAGGCAGCGTAGCTGGAGCAGCGGCGTTGGCGTGGCAGGTAGCCAGAGCCTGTCCTGGGTTGGTCACAATTCCAGTGCTGCTTCTTGGGTGGCATTTTGTAAACAAAAAAAGGTAGTCAGGAGAGCGCTCAGGGGGTTGGAATTTTTCAGTAAACCCCAGAAGGAACAAAAGCAGTTTAGTCTATTGGGAGGTCTTATATTTTGTCCTATCACTTTACCTACTTTTTTTGCTCATTTTTTTCCAGTGAATGCTATTCCAGAAATCAGTTTGATTTCCATTTTAACCATGCTCCTGCATAAAGCTGTTTGACAGCAGTGGAATTGCTACTGATTTCAGGTATGCAGAGAAGAGAGATCTGTGGATTAAGCAAAATGTTCAGCAGGGGGCTGGGAGAACACATTTTCTCCCTATCAGGCTGAATATTTGGGAGAGGGGCAGGGTTTGGGGGCTGGTTTGGGTTTTTTTTAATGGTTGTTCTTTTATAGCACAAGTATTTTAATCTGCTGCCTCCTGGTGGCTTTGTAGTACTGTTTTCTATTTAGGAGTGTACGAGAAGAGGCTGTTTGTTCTGAGCAGAAGGGAGCCCAGTGCTTTCATTTATTCCATTTTTAATGTAAGTAAGGAACACAGTATTTCAGGGCCTGAAAATTACCATTTCTGGGGTCTTGAATATACCCTATGCATACACCTGAAGTAATCAGATTGATTCTGTTTTCTGTAAATGGCCTCCCAGGACACACTGAAGAAAAGTAACATCTCCTAGGGCTGTATATTAAATCCAGAGTTCATTGTGTATAGAATTAACTTTAACTTACTGTTTCTTCAGTGAGTTATTAATCATTGGTAATTTATCATCTTCTTGGGCTACTCTCTCAGAAAACAGAATTGCTTTTTGCTTTTCAGGGCTTTTCTTTCTTCTTAAATTTGTGCAGTCATACTTCATACATAACCTATCATAAGAAAACACCATTAGTCAAAAAATTAACTGTAGTCATTGAGGAATTGATCCAAATTGCTTCAGGAGTCTCAGCTTCTGTATTCATTACAGATTATTGGAAGAAGACAGAAGTGGGTGGACTGGAGGTCAGTGCTGCAAGGTCCAACTGCTAAAGCCGTTGTTCTTGCAGGGAGAGCCATGGGCTGACACCCCTGTACAGGAGTATATGAAGGTTTGGATCCTCACAAAAGGGGAGACTTAGTAATTCTGCAGCCTATCCAGGCCTCAGAGGAAGGGAGATCCCTGTGGCTGAGCAGAGCAAGGTTGCAGGATCTGCTTCCAAGGCAGTGTGCATGTGGAAGGAGGCAGGAATTCTGTGTGCTCACATGCTGCAGAACAGCAGTGCCAGGGCTGCCTGTTGTAGCATGTTCTTGTCCAGACCCAGCCCAGGCCAAAGGCACTGCAGACAGTGCGTTTGGGGAAGAGGAGAACATTTAATCAGAGAATGGGGCAAAGAAAACCAGTGCAAAAAAAAAAGACAAGCTGACAGAGAACAGGATTTCCAAGGCAAAGAGATAGAAGAGCATTATTTCTGTGTTACAGAAATTTCATGTTCCTTCTTCCAAGCTGTTTCCAGAACCCAGCTGTGGGTCTGGACCATCTTAGGAACTAATTGGGAATTAGGCCCATAGTAACCTTTTTCATCGCAGTGAAAAGTAGTTAAGTAGTTAACAAAGTTAAATGTCTAAATGTGGTAAGTGGTTGAGACAGGGTTGCTTCCTTAAAATAGCAAGGGCTGAGTGTGCGTGGCCACCTCTGAGAAGTTGTGTTAAATTGCAGCACAGCATTTATCAGGAATCTGACACACCTTACTACAGCCAAGGGCCTTGTCCTTATTCTGCTATCCTCTTAAGTCAGCCCATAATGGAAAGGTGCCGTTTCATGTCAGGGCAGGACTGGCAGCAGTGTCTGTCACCAAGTCCCCTGCTCGTTGTCCGGTAATTCCCAGGAGCCAGCAAGCTGGTGCAGGGGAGAGGGGAGTATAAATCCATTAATACAGAGCCACTGCACTGGGAGAGAGCTCATGGCAAATCACGGTCCTGGGGGAGAAGACACTGCTCAGCTCTCTTGCCACTCCTGTTCCCACCCTGCTGAGGCATCCAGGGCTGGCTCTCAGAGAGGACAGCTGCCCGGGGTGGTGACACTCATAGGACCTTGAGTAACACCAAGTTACCCTGCTAGCAACAGCCAGCCTGAGAGCAGAGCTAAGATCCTGCCCTTGGGAGCCACACAGCTCACTTGATAAAGGTATTGCTGAACATTGGTACCTAAACACAAGTCAGACTCTTAGTAGGAATGTAGAAGAGAGTACTCCCAAGAACCCACCTCTGTCATGTAGAGCAAGACATGAACTGAAGTAAACTCTGAATTAAACATCATACAGAGCTGTTGTCATGTCCTGTGCACCAAGGAGAGGTAAGTACCCGAGTCAGAAGCAAGAGTTCATTTTAAGGTACTTGGGTAAGTTGCTCAGACAAAACAGGCACGTGAACATCTACTCCCTAAGTAAAAGTGGTGATTTCTGGGGTTTTTTCCTGAACAAAACTTTTTAGAGAGTAAAGCACAAAAAGCGGGGCCATGCCAAAATTTGCCTGCCTTGTTCATTGTAGCAAATAGAGTTATGGAAAACCTTCATGAATGAATGAAGTTTCTCAAGTGGATGCCTCAATTCCAATCAAGTCTTTATAAAGAGAAAAATCACAAACACAATGAGTAAGTATGTTTGAAAAGTATTGTTTATATCCTAATATGTTATCAATATTCTAAATCATCAAGCCACTGGATCACCCAATCAAGACAGAGACAATCAGAACTTGTAAATGTGCACATTTCTTTTTGCAGTGGTCCAAATCAATCCTTCACCAGCACAGGAAGGCTTATGGAATTTAACCTTATGGACATTTGTATTGTCATATGGGTATTCTTTTGGCTTTGATCAAAAGTGGATACTTTTAAGTAATACAATTTTGTAAATGAGAAAGATGGTTTATTAAATTAATTTAGAAATTGGTTGGGAAGGAGATTAGTGAGAGATAATATATGTTGTAGGTGAGTAATTGACAGCTTTGCATTCTTCTCTCTGTGGCAGCCTCCATGTGAAACCCCCAAAGACAGCAGTCCATAAATTACAAAAGTAACAGAATGTTTGGGGTTGGAAGGGACTCCTGGGGATCCTCTAATCCAACCCCTTGCTAAAAACAGGTTCACCCTGAGCAGGTTTCACAGGCTGATGTCCAGGCAGGGTTGAACATCTCCAGAAGAAACTCCACAGACTCTCTGGACAGCTCCTGCCAGTGCTCTGTTCTCCAGAGAGCCCCTTCCCAGCAGGTCAGGCCCTCACCTGCATGGGTGCATGGGCTTGTTCTTCCTGAGCTGCAGGACCCCATGCTTGCTTTTGTTGAGCTTCCCTGAGTTCCACTCCAGCTTGTCCAGGTCTGGCTGAGCAGCAGCACAGCCTGCTGGCCTGTCCTGCCCTTTTGGAAGACTGTGATGACACTGGCTTGCCTCCATTCCTCCTCCTTCTTCATCTTCAAAGACACACCTAATCAAAGATAAATCTAATCTTACTGAAAAGTTATTCTAAAAAGAATTTTGGATATAGTAGAGCACCTTTACACAGAATAAGAGGGATTGGTAGCATGGCCAGCCTTCTGTTTGCAGGCTTTGTTTCTGATCATCTGGGTGGCCTTGGGCTGCCTGGAGGATATGGTGCAGATCTGTGCACTTGTAACTGATGTGGCAATTCCCCTTTCCAGCCCTTCAATGCTATTCTTTGTGTGGGTAGTGTTCATATCATCTCTCTAAACCCTGGAGAACCAGCGGTTCCCAGGGTTCTGTGACAATGAACAAAATTACCTTCTCTTAAACACTTAGATATGCTCCATGTAAGTATTTTGAAGAACCTCGGAATATTAACTACTTTCCAGCATCTGAGGGGGTGTTGGCACATCGTTGTGGGCTTTGGTTTTGGAGGCACCATTTCAGTCTCCTGTTGGGACCAAAGCACTGTGTATTAATAGTTAAATTCTCTGTGATGGAGCCAGATAAGCACAGAAGCAGCAGGCTGATTTCTGGGCCTGGATTTAGATCCACTGACAGGGATCTGGGAGATGTGAGTAGGAGGTTTTGGTCTTTTATATTCAGGCCAGCAATCTGAACACGTGCTTCTTGTGCAAGGTCAGTGCCATAATACTGAGTGAATATCTGAGACAGTTTTTGTCCATTTTTTCACTGAAAAATAAGCAGGGAACGATCTGGTTTTTGTTTGGATGTAGTTTTTTTTAAAATGGTCAAAATCTGCCTGACAACAGCAGGAAGGATGCCTTTCCCTCCTTATATGTCAAGTGAAGGTGCCCCAAAGGCTAAAAAATGCCAAGGACTA